CGCTTGCACCCAGGGGATGTGTTCGATTACAGGAATTTCGTAATCTGGAAAATATTTGTCAGAAAAGGTACCACGTTCAGAATCTTCAAAAGCTAAGGCGAGTTCTCGCTCGCGCAACACGTGTACCAAAAGGTCGATTTCTCGAGTTTGCAGGAAGTCCTTGGGAACACTTGACATAATTTTCTGGAGACGATCCTCCGAGAGACGCTTCGTGGGACGGAATTTTGCAAGGGGAGGAGGATCTAATGGAAGAATAGGTAGTGATGGAATTATTACGGGAAGAAATGTTTGTCCTGCCGGATCAGGCATATAACTAGGGACGGGTCGGACTTTCTTGTCGACTGTCTTGTATCTCGTTTTCATTTGAAGAGGGTTTGATTCGTAAACGAGAGCGCGCTTAGTCCAAGGAGTCGACAAAGGGCGAGAAGTTCGAGGGGAGCAATGCGCTATATTCTGCAAAATAAAATCATAAGTTTCAGGAGGCTCTAACTCGGAAATGAAAGAAGGAGAATCAAAACTATAAGTTCCCATCAAAGAATGAAGCGCCCTCCCAAGAGTCGGAACGGACACGTCCTGGTCAAATCCAGGCTTGGGATACGCGTCCGTCTTCATTTTCCCGCGTCGACGTCGTCTACTTCTTCGATTCTAGTCCGATGGTCGAGGTTGAGTGTAGCTGCATTGCGAGGGGCGCCGGGTGTACAAAGTGGAATGAGAATAGAAGGACCTTGCTGAGAACCGTCAATTTTGTCACCATCGCCATCTTGCCAAATACGCATATTCATCGCGCCTTGACGTGTATATTGAATTGAAGCGGAATACCACTGAAGCCAGGGTTGACCGAGTATGATTTCTTGCTTGCCGGTGCCTTCTCTACTGACAAAAATGTGGTGATCGAATCGCCGTCCTGAAATCTTGATTTCCGCATCGCGCACACATCCGCCTAGAGGAACCGGTCGTCCGTTTATCCCCTTGAGTGACCATCGTGTTCCATCAAGATCAATGGCTAGGTTCGTCCTGTCATAAAATTCTTGCGCTATCAAATTTAGTTCTGAACCCGTATCAATCATAAAAACCGCATCAAATCCAGCAAATTTGCCCTTAAAGCGTCCTGTAACCATCGCGAAAAGCGGTTGTGGAGCGAGATGAATCTTGACTGCGGACGCATATCGGATCAAGATGTCTTCCTTCGACTCTTTAGACTCGTCGAATTCAAGACCAACCCGCGACTCGATGAAACCTGCATTTGAAAACGATTCAGCAGAAGGAAGGGTATGATAAAAATCCTCATCGTCCGAATCATATCCGCCAGTCAACTCCGTTAACGTTACGTCCTCTTCCGCCCACTCAGCTTCTTCCAGGACTTCTACGATATTAGCTACCACGGGTTTGGACTTGTACTCTCGACGCGTCTTCGTCATATTACTGATCGATTTTTGCATAAACGCTGAAATTGCGAGTAGTTCCCCTAATTCGAGTTGCACAATCGTCTTATTGACCTTTTCTCGCACTATTTTATCCAGGTCATACATTTCTTGAATGTCGGAAGTGAAGTGATATGCGGGAGTAGACTTAGCTTTGGTATCCCCGTCCTTCATCTCCACATCTTTAGCTTTCGAAGGTGTCGCCCTACGATTTTTGAAGGCATCTTCAGTATTGACAACAGGGGGTCGTAAATTAAAAGCTTGAGGAGTCGAGGCGATAGGAGCGTTCGCCGGCCTAAGGTTATTGATAGTAGGAACAGGGGGTTTATTTTGATTTTCCTTGAGCTTAGGAATGGACTTAGCTTCGGTTTGGCGTTTCTCGGGGCGCTTGATAGGATCAAAGCGAGTTTCTTTGTCCTTTTGAGAGCGAGTGACAGCTGACGTTGATGAAGGAGGTGCTCGCCATTCGGGTATAGCGGACGAAGGTGAAGCGTTAAAGACGTCCGAGGTCAAGACGTCTTCACCATCAAACAATAGACCGGCATAGTTGGCCATATGGGGAGGTAGGTCTCTAGAGACCTCCCTGGCCTTACCTTTTAAATTACTGGACGCGGCGTGCTGTTCTCTCAAAACTTTTGCGACTCCACCGTCGTTTCCGAAAGCCCGAGGAAGTTCTGACCCATCGGATCGAGCAAGCCTGCCAAGAGGGGTATAAGCCACCAATCCTTCCTTAATACATACCTCGACTTCAGGACAAAACTTCAGACCAAGTCGATGCGTTGTCTTGTCGCAAAAAAAACATCTTGCTTCCCTCAAGATTTGTTGGTTGGTCAGATTAGGATTCGGAGTAACGTTAACTGAGCGTAAAAACTCAGCGTGCGCCAGCCTTAAATCCTCCATTTGTTTGGTAAGTCGATCTACTGGACTGATCCCGACCGGTTCGACGATTGGCGCTGCCGGAACCGTTTTTTCGAAAGCGACCTTTTTCGACGGCTTCTTCTTTTTCTTCGTAACAGGCACCTTGTCGATATCTTCACCTGAATCGCTCGAGCTCGAGTCGGAATCAGAGTCAAGACTCAAGCCAACGTAAGCTGCTTTCGCGTCCAAATCTTCTTCATCAAATTCGGCTCGTAAAAGACTAAGAAGAGTCTCGATCTTAGGAGGTGAAGAAGTTTTGAGGTTCGCAGCCGGTATACGCTTTTTGATTCGAGTGCGTAAAGACGTCGGGATTCCTCTGTAAAAGCAAAGGTTAACGTCATTTTCAAGCATCTTAGTTGCAGTCAAATCCGAAGATAATGCCGTGAAATCTCGATAGTATTTATCCACGTCCTTGCGGGAAGCAATAATTCCTGACTCTCCATGACTTGCACACCAATGCCGCAAGCGATCAGGCGAGTTAGGAGGAATAGAATCGTTCGAACCGTAAAGGTCAGTCAAATAGACTCTCGTTGAAACCCAATCGTCTCCAGACAACAACTTGGACGCCCCAATGACCATCCGAACTTTAGTATGACAGTATCTGAGAACATATCCAGGTAGAAGCGAGTGCGCAACTCTAGCGCTATCTGCATGCTGTTCCAGACTATCCAAAAAATCCGAAACATGTTTCCCTCTGAATTTGGGAGCACCGGGCGTACCAGGCGTTGGCATAGGAACGCCCAAAGTCGCGTTAAGACTCGTTTCAGACACAGACGAATTAAGTGAATCCATAGACGCGATTTTGTCTACGGAACCCATAAAAAAAAAGGAAAGAGAGAGAAATTCGAAGCAAAAGAGAGAATCGAAGGGGAATGCTTAGCGTATATGCGGCTGAACGTATAGTCCTACCACTTCAAGTAAACTGAAAGTGGCAATAAAATGCGAATTTGCGAAAGCGGAGGGGTGTTGGTCGTGTATATGGCGAAAGAGGTGGATGTATGCGGCTGAAAACCGAATAATCAGCCTAAAGTCAAATAATGAATACGTACTAATTCTTTCTCGACGAAAGCCGAAGGCGCAGAACGGAAAACCAGAACCCCTGTCTCGGTCACCACTGTGGAAGAACGAAAGTTCAAGGACAGGGAGGGGTCACTGGTCGTCTGCCACAGAAAAAGATAAAGAGAGTGAGAAACAAAGAAAACGAGAACAAAGGGAGAATAAGAATCGGGCGCTTATCGTGAGTGGCGTGTGATCGCGCTCGATGTCGCCGTCTAATCGCCGTATGTACGTATGCGCGTCGAGTCGAATGTATGCGTCTTGAGAATGCGTGAGAGGTAAAAAGAGAGGTTCTTGAAGTGTGTCGTCGTCGAAAGAAGACAGAGTGAGTTGGACAAAGACTTGTAAAAACTTAAAAACTTTAAACGTGCTCGAGAGTCTGATGGGGGGGGGGAATCGATTTCAAACACGCGAAGAGCCTTTTAAATACGTTACAAACAATCACAAGGCTACGCACGTACTCGCATGCTGCCTGACCAAAAATAAACGAGAAGCGTCTAAAAATAGCGATAAAAATAGAAAGGATCACAAAGAAACAAAACAATGCTGACTTCACCCTCACCTCTCTCCGCAAATCCGTCAGACTAGGAATGACTCGGGGAACTTACAATGTAGGGAGAGGTCTATTTTCGTGCGCGACTGCCGACCTCAGTGCGGACATCCCTAACATTGATGCTCAACCCTACCGTCTAGCCATCGGAAAACGCGTCGAGCGGAAAAGGTTCTGTCGTAAGTAAGAAAAAAAATGCAAAAGAAAGAAAAACTAAAATTGAATGTAGGCGTACGATTCCAGGAAAACTTCCAAGACCAATTCCTTCAAGGGTGCGCATTGTTGGGCGACGCGGCGAGCGCTTCGACGTATAATGTCATCTAATCCGTTCTTGCCGCCAGTGACCGGATGCCACACAACCTTCGGTCTTTCTCCTTGATCCCTAAGAAAATACACGCTACACTCACTCTCGACATTCAGTAATGAACAAGTAAAATACAAATAACAAAATAAAAAGTAAAACCATAAAATAAGAAAGAAAAAGAAAAATACAGAAGGCGTCGTGAATGGAACGTGATGCACTTCCACACCGCCAAGGTGGTCTTACACTGCTGAGTCCTATGGCAGGGAGGAAAAAAGTCAAGATGGTTTCAGTCACGTGCGCATATTTCTTCTCTTTCGCTATTAATTGTCATTGACGCCACAAAGCCAAATTCAAGTTACTTAGCCCAATACAAGAATCTGACCATCTTTCTTCCACACTGATCACTACTATGGGTACATCGAACACTGGAAATGGTCATCGACAACTTGACGAAAGCTATAGCAAAGCAGTCCCGGGGTGTTGTTCCTCCCTCACAAAGAGGACAGCACCAGTTGCCCCCACGGAAAATCGGTGTATGCTCGAGAACACTGATAAATCTGTTGGCTATGTTCATCTTATATTATCTCTCCAACGGAGATCCCTAGTGAAGTTGTTCCGCACCCATTGTCACCCGAATTAGTGGAAATAACTGACTTTTAGGACATCAATCATCTGGAGTATTCATGGAGCAAGAAACCTGGGACGTTGAATCTGCACATGCGCTACTACTCTATCCTTTGTGTGTTGTCCTATGATACTAGTACTTTGTTATGTGAAGGGTGATTGGCAGCCAACAGTTGGGTCTAAACTTCGTGATCTCTTCAATGAGGGAAAATGGTTTCTCCTTCACGAACCCCACATACTTGATCTCTATCTTCGTGGCAGGTGCAATCCAATGTCTGTTCCGCCAAAGACCTCCGTGCGTGCCATCAATTTTGAACTATCGATTTCATTTGAGATCACCTTTTGCAGGAACCATACTACGAGTATACCATCCTGCCGCTGAATGGCATGGCTTCAGTTCCCATCGCGCGCCACATTACAGACGACACGGGTGTCACGACAACGCAAACGCACTCATTTCCATATCCAGACCTCGGCGTCATACACTCCCATGTTCATCCACATTACGTTATCTTCCATGCGGCGAGAACGATATTTACATTTACATCTATGGCGGACAGACAACAATATCCAGAGTACAAAGGCATGCTTGGAAACGTGCTTTATTAGTACGCGGGTTGGACTGTCAGAATCGCCAATCTCAAAATGATGGGTAAATTTCGGCCCTCTCGTCTTTCTTATGACGAAAGTGACTCGGAGAGCGACTCCCTCGAGACGAATCCACCGAGTACTCCTCGTTGCAGAGAACTGCCACTTCCTCAATCATCTTTAACCCAGCCGAAGAAGGTTTCAATTGAGGAGTGGCGGAACAGTGTGATAGAAGGGGGCGACGAGATACGGGAAGTTGAAGTCCAGGATGCGCAAGAGTGGGAGGAACCCTCCAGTTTTTAATTGCTCTCTTTATAGCTCGAGCACCTATATATACCTGTGTGTATAGTATTGAGATACCAATAATTCATGTCATTTGTCCCCTCCGACACCAGTGTACAGACTGAGACCATATAACAAAAGAACCTCAAGTTCCGAAGAATTCGTCTGATTTTTGTGCTCGTCGTCGGCCACAGCGAGCTCAGAGGTTGTGGGAGTTACCGATCAGTGTGATCAGCGACACGTCAGTGTGGGATTTTCTGATGCATTGTATTTATATCGGCAACCAACGTTTCCATGTCTCTGCAAACACCCACTGAAATTTCTCCCTCGGAATGCTGTCTACGCCGCTGCTCACGCTCGCCTTGGCGCTGACGCCGTCCCTGGTGTCAGCTGCCATATTCCCTGCAGATTCGCTGGTCAAGATGTTGGACGCAAAGTCGTTCAAGAAGGCGTTGAAGGCCAACGTAAGTTCTTGTCTTACATTCAATTTGAGATGAGAATCAAATTATGGGACGACAGCAAACTAGTATGGTGGCATTCGTCGCGCCTTGGTGTGGGGTACGTTCAGTGATATCTGTCGCCATTGAGTTGCGAGCTAACTAAGAGAATGTAGCACTGTCAGAGGATGGTACCGGAGTACAGTAAAGCCGCGCTAGGGCTTCATCCTCTTGTTCCGGTGTATGCTGTTAACTGCGACGCGGAGAAAAACAAGCGATTGTGTGCTGAACAGGTTGGTTCAACTCTTTCTAAGGGAAATTTCTACTGGTTGACGAGATTTTCGTGAAGGGAGTCACTGGATTTCCTACAGTGAAACTCTTTCCCCGTGGCAATGCACTAGCACCGATGGTCTATGATTCAGGTGAAAGGACTGCTACCGGCTTCTACTATTGGGCCACGCGTCGGATTCCGAAGCATTTCGCCAAATTGTACCACGAATACGAAGTTAAACCTTGGATTGAGAAAGTGAGTTGCAAACGCCGCTTCTAAACTTTAACACCACCTGACGTTGCTGGGTATCAGAACACATCCAAACACCGCGCTTTGTTACTGACGAAGGATAAAAAGGTTCCTTTGTTGTGGCAAGTCCTCGCAAACAAGTACGCGGGGCAATTGGAAATGGGCACGCATCGGGATAAGGAGGGCAAGACTTCTGTGAGTCTGGGTTTCGAGGCTGGAGGGAAGAAGGGAAGCAAGGTTTTGATATACCCCGTTGGATCCAACACCCCAGTCCGATACGAAGGTCAGAATCTCTCTAATGACAATGCGCATTTCTAACCGTAACAATTTGCAGGCATCCAGAAACTCGAATCTCTGTCTAAGTTCTTTGACTCGGTTCTAGATGGCACCGCAGACCTGAAGATCGCCGTCGAGGAAGCAAAGAAGGAGGAATATGTTCCGCCAACAACCGAAGAGCTCGAAATTCAGCGAAAGCAAGAGGCGCAGCGGATAGCGTTGCTGCACGGCGGTTTCACGGAGCTAATTGACTTTGAGAAGGCCATTTTGGAGGGTGGCGCGAATTATCACGAAACGGCTGGCTACGGAGGTATGATGGGTGGTGTGCCAGAGCATTTGAAGAAGGCTGAAGCAACCGCTTCGGAAACAACGTTGGCAACGGCGCCAACAATCACTGGGATCGTTGACGACGTCAATCCTACCTCGTTGAGCGGCCAGGGCGATGCGGACGCGAAGAAGGCGGCGGATGTGAAGAAGATTTTGGATGAAGCGATGGAGGAGGCTGCACAAGCACGGAAAACCACGGCTGCTGAGCCAGTGAAGGCTGAGCCTACCCTAGCTCAGGAGGCAGATCAAGTCGTTTTGGAGGAGCCAGCCTCAACTCCCCGCCCGACGGATGAGCTGTAAATACTCGAAATTCAATCATTGTGTATAGCGTTCTGTACTATCTTTATTGGGAGAAGCGTGACCACGCGTGACGTAACACAAAATGTCAAGCTCTTCGTTGAATAACACAACTTGCACGTCGTCCATGTCGGTTTCGCCCTCATACTCATAACATCGGACGGCGCTGACCAGAATACGACACGAAAGCATGGCGCGTGGTGCACGAACGTCACCTGTGGCAGTAGCACTACCCAAAGTCTCATTTGAGAAGATTCAAGATGAAGTATCAACCCAGCCTGGTGGTGTGCACGATCTGCAAGCAAGGTCGTATGGATGTGAGTTGTTGCGTTGTGCGCATGCGTTTTAAGGAGGAAGAGAGCTGAAGATGTATAGATAATGACTTTTCGGAGTTCCGGAGGCCGGACCATTACATTCGGCATATTGGTGAGTATGTTTTGAGGATGGCCCCATTGAGATGCTGATGGTGAACGTAGAACCTCTGGAGAGTGAACTGGCGAAGCAGGTGGAGTATGATATGGATGAGCAAGGTTGGTTTCCCCTCCGTCGATCAGGGTTGATTTGGTTGAACTGATGCACTTTCCTTGCGATTGCAGACCAAGAATGGTTGGACGCAGTGAACGCCGATAGGAAGAAGGGGGGAGACCTTAATAAGGTAACTTATGAGGCTTTTGAAATTATTATGGATAGGTTGGAGAAGGAGTGGTTTGATTTGGTACGTATCTTAGCGTCCTCCTCTGCCTTCCAAACTTACTCTCTTCCTCCCCAACTCAATGGTGGAACAGACGAAGAATATACCCAAACAAGACTTTGCGATGCCATCAGAAGACTCTACATGTGCTATATGCGACGACTCCGAGGGCGAGAATAGTAATGCGATTGTATTCTGTGATGGATGCAATTTGGCTGTACATCAGGGTACGACATCCTATTCTTAGGAGCCTCTTGAAGGTGCTGATGACCTGCTAGATTGTTATGGTGTGCCATATATTCCGGAAGGGCAGTGGCTCTGTCGAAAATGTACTGTATCTCCAGAAAACCCTGTTGTGAGTGTGCCTTTGAGTTTGGCTTGCGATGTGACCACTCAGTGTTATCCCTGCGCAATAGCAATGTATATTATGCCCCAATGAAGGTGGCGCATTCAAGCAGACCGTCCATGGTGAATGGGTCCATCTCCTTTGCGCCATTTGGGTCCCAGAAACCCGTGTCGCGAATGAGGTGTTCATGGAGCCGATAACAGGCATAGAGAAGGTGTCAAAACAGCGCTGGAAACTCGTACGTTTTTCGTAACACCTCTTCCCAGAATGTCGAGGTTCATTTCACTCTAGAAATGCAGCATTTGCGACTATCGAGGTGGTGCCTGTATTCAATGTGCAAAGACGTCATGTTTCACGGCGTTCCACGCTACATGTGCTCGGAGAGAAAAGTTTCTTCTGCCGATGAAAACGACACAAGGCTCGGAGCCCGTTACTCTGACATGCTACTGTGAACGCCATCTACCTGTGAGTTTCATGTCCACCTTTCTACTGTTTGATCTAGATCTCACCGCGTTTCTTCAACAATAAAGAAAGAGCAACAAGACATTCGTGAAGCCGCCCTAGCCAATGAAGACCAGCGGTCCCAGACAACAAGCCCCAATGCCAAGCTCTCTTCCAAGTCTGCCCGCGCATACGCCAAGACGTACAAGCCTGGCCCGCCTCTTGTCCCCTCCATCACTGTGAACCGTATCTTGTCCTACATAGGCAAGGTAGCCATAAGGAAAAAGACAGAGTTCGTGACCCTCATGTGCCGATATTGGAGTTTAAAACGGGAAGCGAGGCGAGGTGCACCACTCTTGAAAAGATTGCACTTGGAGCCATGGACGGCGAGTGCGGGCGGGAAGGGGCAATCTAGGGAGGAAAAGCTGATGAAACTTGAGGTGAGTAGTGTTTATCACTGTTTATGTGCTTTTACTGAGGATGGTCCCAGCAACTCCAACGGTTACGTTCAGACCTTGTAAATGTTCGAACGTTGGCGGAGCTTACCCGACAAAGAGAGAATAAAAAACTAAGACAAACTGACATCTTGCATGAGATCCTCTCCATGGCGCTGTTCCCCCATGAAGCACGTTTGCGACTGGCCTTTGAGCGTATCATGGCGTTAGTACTCTTGTTAGCTTCTATCTTTTGATTGCCTTGCTGATTAGAGTCTAGTCACGACCGCATGGACTTTTTCAAGAACCCCGTCAACAGGAACGAAGTGCCAGACTACTTTGATATTGTCACTAATCCAATGTGTTGGTCCATTATCGACAGCAAGCTTGACAGTCACGAGTATTGGGATGTCAAGGCTTTCAAGGTACGTCTGCTCTCTCTTACAAGATCCGTTTTGGAGATGAATGTTCTGCTTAGGATGACATCGACCTCGTTGTGGACAATGCTATTTTGTATAATAAACCCGGAACACCATTCTACAAGGCTGCCAACAGGATCAGGAATGCTTCCAAGAGCATATTGGAGGAGTTGAACAGCCTGTCGGTCGTCCACCCTTCGCTACAAGCCGCTGCAGGCGATCCTGTCGACCCAGCTGGTGGAGCTGGTCCATCAAACGACGGTGACACTGCGATGGACGTAGATACCGTTGGAGACGCGCAAGGCGCACCGGACCCGAAGACGGTGACATTCATGATTTCCTTGCTAGGTGATCTCGAGCCTCCATTGGGAATATTAGATCTCCTCGACTCTTCAGCGGCCATAAGTACTGACCTCAACCTTGAGATTGGCGATAACCCCATCATATCGTTGTTCAATTTCGAGCTCGCGCAAGTCAAGCCACCACCACCGCCTTCCCCGCGACCACCTCCAAAATCGAGAAAAGGCAAACGCGATAGGAAGGCTGAAGCTGAGCGCGCAAAGGCGAAGAAGGAAGCTGCCGCGGCTGCTGGGGAGAAAGTACCGGAAAGACCGCTTTTCACCGACAACACACATGACTTTGGTTTACCCCGGACCCGACGTGCAGCAGCTGCCGCAGCCGCCTTCGAAGCTGAGGCACAAGTATCATTCTCCTCCGTTGACGGTGAATCCTCGGATATAGAATCACCTTCTGCCGAACGGGGTGAACGAAGTTGGTCGAAGAAGCGGCTTTCAATCACTTCCATTCCTCAGGCCGCTTCCCCGCAAGTTGTCAACGACGTTGACAACCGCGGTTCGTTCCATATGTTCAATGCTGGGTGGATCTTGCCCCCTGATCAACGTCGTGGTGGGCGAGCTCCCGTAGATAGGCAGCTCCTACCGCCTCCCAAGAAACGTCAAAGAACGGGTCTGTGTCAGCCCTCCGTCCATTTCTGTTATGTCAGCTGACTATCTCTTCGTCTGTACAGATCCCGGCACATCTTCAAGACTGTCAATGGTTAGCACTGCGGCTTCAGAAAACCAGACTTTACGGTCGCCTCCAACCACACCTTCGCCTGGTGACGAATCCATAGAAGTCGATATCAAGCATGAGGGCCAGGAGGCTACGGTGGACATGGAGCCTGCGGTTGACGCCGACAAGAGCATGGAGGTAGTGGAGCAGAGTCTTTTGGAGCAGAATATGGAGGCACCCGACCAGCCAGTCGAGGAACAATTGGAACCTATTCAACCCTCCAGTCCCACGGAGGCGGTCAAACCACTCACTACTCGAAGTGCAAATAAGGCTGCCCAAGCCCTCGTCATTGAAGTGCTGGACACGCCTGCGACACGAAGGCAGAAGCGTCGCCAGGGCAAGGACGCTGCTGCGGAAGCGCCAGATGGTAATGCCGTCGCTGGACCATCCAGGCCCACTCGTATCTCCACTGCGTCTCGTAAGGCACGAGAATCGATGGCACAACAAGAGGAGAATGAGGAGGTCGAGTCTGACCTGAGTGAGTTGAGCGAAGCAGGGAGCGACGGCAAAGAGGCAGAACGTCAACCACTTTCTCGGGGGAAGAACAAGAAATGGCCACAGGCAGCTGGGAGCACTTCTTCGAAGTCGGGTACTACCTCTGGACGTGTCAGGGCGGATGGTAGACCTGTACGCTCAAAGACCACGCAGCTGGATACTGGCACACTCGGTAAATTTTCTCTTGGAATCTGTAAGGGTGGTTGAACTCAGATGATCTTCTAAATTTTCAGTTTGGGCTAAAGCTCGTGAGTTTGGCCGACTCGCGCCCTGTTCGTTGTGAGGCTGATTTCCCATTCAGATTCCTTCCCGTATTGGCCAAGTGTGATTTTTGCTGAGGATCATCACGAAATACCTCTCAATATTTTGCAAGCGTTTAAGAAAGACCGTTTGAAAAGCAAATCGAAGATGTACATCGTTCAGTTCTTCGATAAGCTGAATAGTTGGTCAGTCCGTGTTGTGTTTTTTTGTAGTTGACACTCATGCACAAGATCCAGGGCCTGTGTCCCACGTGATAGGATCTTGTTGTTGAAAGAAGATGATGGTCAGTGAATCCCCGTTCCTTTGCAATGGTCAACAAACTGAAGATGTGTCTTTTGATGCGTAGAGCTCGACGAGGAGATGCTTGCTACCTCGGGGCCGAGGCAAAAATGGAAAACTGCAACTTTGAGGACTCAGTGTCGTGAAGCATACAGGTTTGTGCTTACCCCGTCACCTGATATGATGGCTGATAACCTGACTACATTCCAGGAGAGCGCTGGCTGAGATGGAGACTGATTCCGACAGGCGTGAACAGGATGATGCAGGGGAAGGGTCTGCGGGATAGTCTGAGTTTTTATTGGTTTATATAGTCTCTTTTCTTTCACTGTCTTTCGATTCTCTAGCTTGTAATCGCAATTTTAAGAAGGAGTCGGCGCTAAGTGAACAGTTGTTTCTCTAATTCATAAATTATTACAATTGTTCCAACTGAAGACCACAGGCCTGCTGCCACCCTTCTACGAACCAAATCGTCCTCCGTGACGGATCTATATTGATTCCCTTCGCTTCAATGTCGTTAATTCTACATCCGCCTGTGATTGAGGTGGCGTTTCCAACATCCCTCGAATATTCAAAAGCAACCTACGAGCAATTATATATCAACCTGTAGCAGAAGCGCGGCAAACACCACGAACCTGGAGCATATTGTTGCCTGAAGGCTCTTCAATAGCCTTCAGAATTCACAATAAATAAATATTAGCAGCAGGACAAAATTAGGATGCTCACCCAACAGCCAGATAAGACGCGAATGGATCTAATATCCATATCAAGAAGTTACAGATGGACACGGCTGTATTGTACCCCAATCAGATGATGAATGCAGGGGAGAGGTGAAAGGACGTACACATGATCACTGCACATGTTTGGGATCAGAACTCAGGATGGATGGAGTTAATGAGAGAAAATACTCACCAATGTAATAAATCAGTCCTACGTAGAAGACCATCAGCCATAATTCGCCGAAGTAGGTGAAGACTTGCCATCGCGAGATAGAATCGTCAGAATCGAGGAACGAGAACTTTGACGACATAACGATGATACTGATACTGGATGAAGATCGAGTGAACGGAGTGGACAGGGTCTAGCGAAATGTTTGTTGCCTTACGATGTTGGTATGATCTCCATCCTGTTAGTACAAAAACAACTGTCAAAAAGAGGATATAGGGTTATCTGACGGCTGAACGAGGTCCTTCAAGGATTTACTTGTCTCCAATAGGAAGAAAGGCACCCAGAAGCCTATAAGCAGGGGTTGACAAATTTTGCTTGTGCACCCGGAGAGGCATCCCCTGAGACCTAAAGAGCTTGCGGAGACAACTATTCCTTTTTGCATAAATATCGCGGAGTGTTCTATGATAACGTAGGTCACTCACATGTTTCATAGCGAAATACGATGAAGAAAATGGTGACCATATTGACCATGGAACACTTGTGAAAAGTTAGCCCTTGACTGAAGAAATGGGATTGCAAATTTACAAAACATAAAATCCCTAATGCATTAGTCAACCATCGTTTTTGATACAGTGCGTGCGTTCTCAGAACAAGCACAGCTTTAACGGCCAAACTTAAGCAAGAATCATGCGAGGAACAATTCGGGACTCACCTTCTATAATGGCAATAGATACTAGGTCCATTAATGTCGACACGATTTCATAGTTTCTGCAGCTGTTGAAGTTGACGACTGGATGAGACTTTTCAAATCGAGCAACCTACAACTGAAAAGAGAGGTCACTATGGGCATCATGTGGATTGTAAAAAAATACACACTGTCTCGGTTGGCGAGTAAACGAATTGCGCTTGGCGGCGAGGGATTGATTATCAGTGTGAGGCTTTCATGGAAGAGCGATTCATACAATACAGGTCGAGAACGAAAACGCAAGGCGGAAGATATCGATTCTAAAAATAATAAATGGGTGCCATCTCGGGCCTCATAGAGAGTGTGTACACACGAAGAGAAAAATCGTTGTGCCCACAGTCCTTTTCGCACTCCACACTCTTGAAATCTGGTCAAGATTTATAAGAGAACATGTCCATGTAAGAATACGATGACGTACCTCTTGATCTAGCGTCAGGACGTAATCCCACATCAAGATGGTTGCCGATGCCACTGTGAAATCGATGTTGTCTTAATCGCCTTTAAATGTCGATGTTATAAGTACAAACCAGTAGTGTACTGCATGAAGTCTCAACGGGAGAAGAGTCCAATAAATGAGACATACATACCTTCGTGGCGGCCAAGCTAGAGATTATTTTGTTTACGTCGGGGATGCCAGAAGCCATCGCGTGCAGGCCTTTAGGTTGAAGACGTGTTTCTATATAAGTATATGGGTCAAATATGGGTGGCGCTCCACTGGATCTAAATATATCTTGGATGTCGTACTGTGGTCCTGTGGATATGTTCCAGGATAAGGATAGTTGTTGCAAACTTTTGGCTAAGCTGAGGTGACTGAGCCTTCGTTTTCCGATGGGAAGCGGAGAGGAAGCGCAGGAGTTTGAGGTTAGGTCGGAGGTAGAAAGTTCCTTCTATAACCATGCACATGCCTGCGAACTCAAAGACGAGCGTCTCAGAGGAAGATCAAGATCGGCGCCCGTGGTTGCAAACACAAAGCCATACACAGGCTTGAGCTTGAATGATGAAGCCATATCGAGTGCTCTGAGTCTAAGGAGCTTTAACTTTTCATAATGCTCCACGTTGGCCACCAGTGACCTTTCAATTGAGGCCGTAGGGCCTGGACGCTTGGGGCAAACATTTTCCATGGCTTGTCCTCCTACGAGCGACGACGTGCCTGAGACAGAATGATAAGGCACAAAAAGACCGAGAGCTCCCCAACGGTGATTCACCTCTCAGTAGATGAGAAGGAAGTGCCCATGAGGGTACGATGCTACCGCAGGGAGGACCTTAGTTCGGGGTGGCTTGCAAGTGGCTTGGTTCATTTTCATATGTCTTTTTTGTTTTGTTCTGCAGCCATGATTATTCAAGCGATGTTAAGGTGGCGGTAGTAATGCCCAGAATCACTGGGACATACGGCGGCGGTATCCAGGTTGTTTGACGCAAGTCTGACAAAGATTGACTCTGAGGAAGGAAGTTGCCGTTTATGTAAGGGGTCTGTGACTCCGAAATCACGAGATTTTACAAACACTTGTGACATAACGCGTTTCTCAAGGTCAAGCATTTTCCGCCAACTCGATGACAACGCCAGCTCTCCAAATTGTAGCTATTACTGATCGAGAGCTACTACCGGAATGTCTCCCAAACCTTATGCCATTCCATATCAATTATAATGGCCCAGCGGCAGTATCGACATTTATGCGCATCAAGCACGCAAAGGGGGAGGTTGGTGCGCCTGAGAAAAACCAGATTGGGGGTATCAATGAGGAAGTGGTGGTTGGAGTTGAAGGGTTGACGGTAAAGGATGCATCCGCTGAGAAACAAGTAGTCATGATCAAGAACGAGGACGTGTCCATGGAGGAGACTACGACCGACTCGAACCTGCCTCAAATCAAACAGAAGGCATCGGAACCAATCACTGAACTTGACATTGAAAAAGATGTGGAGGAAAGGGACATAGTGTCATTCGGAAACAGTACTCCCGGTGAGCGAAAGGGCGAAAAGGCGGCCCAAGTCGCGACAGTGATGGATGCTTCGCAAGACTCGTCCTCCGAAATGCCCATCCTCACTGGGTCAACATCGTCAGTTGAGCTCCCATCTCCACTAGAATATATCATTCCCTCCCCTTCGGATCCTGATTCATCACGCTTTGTGTCGACTTTCCGAGGACGCGCTATTCACGGTCTAAAGGTCGGCTTACCTGCTGGCTATGTGGGCGTACTGCTTCGCTCCGAGGGTGTTGCTAGCAGCAGTCAAGCTACTAGGAATAAAGGGAAGGCGAAGGCAAAGCCGGTACTGAAAAAGGTAACAACTCGGAAGGGTAGATTCACCCGAAGCGCGGTCCCGAAACGCGCAGTCGAGGAGGTGGAGGCGGAGGACCAAGAACCCGACGAAACCGCGAGCCTGGAGGCCGATTGCGTTGAGGCACTACCAAACGACGTGCCTATACGAACGCTTGTTCCCATCTCACAATTTTCATCATTTGTTCTATGGCACGCGGACCGACCTGTAGACGAAAATCGGGACGAGTATTTTCGCTCCCTAGCGGAGTGGACAAAGTTGGCTGAAGAGGTGTGTTTCGTCGTTTGTTAACAATGTCTATTATTCATGAGGTTCTATAGATCCATCAGACCGAGGATTAAGCGTACTGTCATCCAGGAGCGGGTCAACTAGACACTGGATTCCTCCAAATGTTGTCGTTCCTGCTCTAACGTAAGACGACAAGTGAGAACAAATTCATGTGGATGAGCCAAGGCACGGCGAGGAGACGCCCGAAGGCTGTGCATCCGATAAGGTTCTTCTTCACCATAATACCTGTCAAGGCGCACAGTGGTACCGTTTCGCGCTCTTAGCTTAGTTGAGATTGGCATTTGTTTCGAGATCAAGTTCGCCTGCAGCTTCTTTGTGATTGTTTGAATGATACTGATCGACTACGCTAGAAATTCGCTGGTAGTAGAGACCGCAGCCACGATGTGCGACTCCAAGTTGCCTGAGGGCAGTCCACCCGCCCCACAAAATGGGCTTAGTCTGCCCGGGCCCCCCGAGCTTATTCCACACGTCTACAGAATCCCAAACGAAATCCTCGGTCTCATCTTTTTGTTCAACGCAACTTGGACAAAGGGCAAGATGGACAATCCACGAAGAACGACAATGGCGACCTCTCAAGTGTGCCAGAGATGGAGAAACGCCGCGCTCTCATACCCTGGGCTCTGGAGTCGTATTATGAATTTCCAAAAGGATCCGATTCCGCTTCTCATAGAACTTCTGAAGCGATCGGATCCGGTCCGCATTGATGTAGGGAAAGATGATCAACAAGTGACCTTGGGATGGGGCGACGGAAGAAAAATATCGGAAATTTTAACTGCAAACACCCAAAGGATTCGCACTTTCAATGTGGAGATGGGACAGGCAGACTTGGAGCACCTAGCCAAGATGTTTATCCAATACCCAGCACCCCATCTCGAATTTCTTGGACTCAACGTCAATGGGGATCTAGGAGAGTTACTGTTTCAAGCTCGTGTTCCCGCTCTACGCCGTCTGCATCTCATCGATTGTGACATTCACAAAATCCCCTTCATGACATCAAAGGTCCCGTTTTTCGCCACTCTCACCGAGTTATCTATCAAGGACGTTACAAACATTTCGATTTCGACTTGGGTTCTCATCCTCCTCCAAACGCCGTCACTTCGATGGCTCTCAATTTTGTTTTCCATCAGTCCAACAGGCGAAATTCAGAGTCAGCGTAATAAAGCGCCTCTTCCCGAACTCTTGATGCTGAGTTTGGCTGGGCGATTTAATGACTGTGTCTCATTAGTTGACCACATCGTGGCTCCTCCTCTGTGCAGCTTGCGATTAGAGTGTACTTCTATGCCAGTGGGCCGGGAGTTAGATCAAGCGTTGGACATCGCGGAGCAATGGACCAGCCAGTGTTCTCTGCGCAATGTGATAGCTCGTCGCCTTTGTGTCGTGGCGATTGTGAGAAGCAGTCTTATTGTCGGGAATCCAAACTGGTTCGGTGCATTGAACACCTGGGGCACATGCGAAGCAGCGTCTTTAAGATCGAAATGCCATATTGATGGGACGTCCATGTTGAGCTTCCACTTTACTTGGGAGAGCTCTGAAGAAGTCTCATCCTGCTCTCATCGACTCGTTTCATGCTTTCGCCCCATTTATTCGGTCGCTGAATCTTTGATTCTATGGGTTGACGACGATATGTTCTCTTTTCATGAAAACTCTCTGGCAATAGAGGAAATCCTTCCCTCGTTCTACAACCTGCGAGTACTTCATGTCACGGAAGAATCGGTTGTTCATATTATAAACCTCCTATACAATCCTGAGCTTCAAAAGGGAAGCTCGGATATCCTATTGCCTTCCCTGAAGACGATATATTTTATGGATCCCAGATTTGGAGAAAACGACAAATGCTTCGACACCCTCCTTTCGGTCGTACAGCAACGGAGGCGTATTCATTCCCCAATACAGAATATTAACATCGTCTGTGATGAAGGAGAAGATCCTCGTTTACATATGAACCAAAGACAGCAAGACGTTCTAACTGAGCATGGAGTACGTATCGAGCTCTCCGCCCTAACAATGTCTGAGGAATTTCGGTTTTTGCTGGACCACTGTGCCTCAGGATAGTAGTTATAATACGGCACTACTTTTCTGCACCTTGGCCCTACACCGACGCGATACGAAAGTAGAATAAACTATATAAATAAACTTGCGTTCAAATCCCTATATTTCCGTTTTATCCTGGAAGAGAAGAGGTAGGGCAACAAAAGTTTAGTACAAGGCCGCCATACGACCTCAATGAGGCTATTTGAGTTGAGAATATTAAGTGTAATGGGGCGGTACTAGGGAACACGCGGCGGACCCATAAATAGTCCTGTATTACTTGTCTAGCTGATTAATGTATGGAGGGAGTGGATTGGTAAACCTTTGATAGCAACGAAGACTCATTAGAAACATGCTGAGAAATCATCGCTTTCTAGCGAACATTAAGTAGTATAAATTGTCAATCCAGCAGTAAAGCGGTCGTATCAATCCTTTATTCGAAAGCATTTAATGACGATCCTAATCACAGGCGGAACAGGGAAGACGGGGCTCAAGCTCGCTCATTTACTGAACAAAGCTGGCCACCCCATTCTCCTCACTTCCCGCAAAGGCGAGGTATCCCACCCATTCAAAGGCGTCAAATTTGACTGGCTTGACCCATCAACCTTCGACAATCCATTCGACGTCGACCCAGCAATCGATCGCGTTTATATTGTGGGGCCAGTAGGGATTCTGGATATGCTTCCACATGTGAAGCCTTTCATTGATCTCGCGGTGACCAAAGGTGTTAAGCGATTCGTCGTGTTGGGTGCAAGCCCGATCCCGAAAGGAGGCCCTGTTGCTGGAAAAATCCACGAGTATCTAGAGGAAATTTGTGTAGATTACGCAGTTTTGCGTCCGACTTGGTTTATGGGTATGCACCTCAGTCTCTGTTTCTGGGTTGGGCTGATGCAGTGCCCCATTAGAGAACTTTTCCATTAGCCCCGTGGCGACCAATAGTATTCGGTTACACAACGAAATTGGGTCAGTTGCAAAAGACGGACGTCTCGCGTTTGTTTCGGTGGACGACATTGCCAAGGCTGCGTCGGATGCTTTACTCGATGAGAAGAGCTGGAATAGCGACCGATATATCTTAGGGCCCGAGCTACTTTCGTACGGTGAGGTGTGTGTTGTTTCTTCAAGGAAGAAAGGCGCTAGCTGAACTCAGGTGACATCGTGAAGGTCGCAGCCTTGCTCAGCAAAGTCCTTGGAAGGAAGATTACGCACAAGAGGCTGACCCAAGATGAATCGTTATCTATCTGGACATCTGTCGGCGGCCTGTCCATCGGACTTGCGAAAGGCCTGATAAAGATGGAGGCGGAGATTGCAGATGGGGCGGAGGTGGCTGTATTTGAGAATGACAACAAGATCCTTGGCAAGACACACCTGAGGGAGTTTTTCGAATCCAATCGGGAGTTGTGGGTAATTTGAACAGGAACAATGAAGGCGCTGATGGTCCTGTATTCTTTGACTCGTTGTATGGCTATCAGTACTTAACATAAGCTGGAATAACCTATCATGCGATCATAGGAGAGGTTCAGAGTTGGCACGAGTGTTATTTCAGGGAGCTAGGCCTGTTCGGGTTTTCGTCAAATTTTTGTCCGCAGAGGGATCAGTCATTTGACCTACTTTCCCATGTCCTGTCGCGTAACTCGGAATTGAGTAGGACTATTATTAGATGTCAGGCCTTCAGGTGCCTTGGGTGCCCAATGACGCTTATCGGGTGCCAGGGAGATTTCCGACATATAAGCCGTCGTATCAATCCTTCACTTGAAAGGATCTGATGACAATCCTAATCACAGGCGGAACAGGGAGGACGGGGCTCAAGCTCGCTCATCTACTGAGTAAAGCTGGCCACACCATTCTCCTTACTTCCCGCAAAGGCCAGGTACCCCATCCATTCAAAGGCGTCAAATTTGACTGGCTCGACCCATCAACCTTCACCAATCCATTCAACGCCGACCGAGCAATCGATCGCGTTTATGTTGTGGGGCCAGTAGGGGTTTTCGACACGCTTCCACACGTGAAGCCTTTCATTGATCTCGCGGTCACCAAAGGTGTTAAGCGCTTCGTCGTCTTGAGTGCAAGCGTGATCCCGAAAGGAGGCCCAGTTGCTGGAAAGGTCCACGAGTACCTAGAGAAAATTGGTGTAGATTACGCAGTTTTGCGTCCGACTTTGTTTATGGGTATGTACCCCATTGTCTTCAATCTGGGTTGGGCTGATGCCTAGTGTTCCATTAGAGAACTTTTCCACTGGCCCGGTGACGCCTAATAGTATTCGGCTACGTAACGAAATTGGGTCAGTTGCAAAAGACGGACGCGTCGCGTTTGTTTCGGTCGACGACATCGCGAAGGCTGCGTCGGACGCTTTACTCGTTAAGAAGAGCTGGAACACCGACCGATATATTGTAGGGCCAGAGTTACTTTCGTACGATGAGGTGCGTGTTGTATCTTTAAGGAGGAAAGGCGCTAGCTGAACTCAGGTTCCATCGTGAAGGTCGCGGCCTTGCTCAGCCAAGTTCTTGGTAGGAAGATTACGCACAAGAGGCTGACCCCAGACGAATCGTTATCTATCTGGACAACTGTTGGCGGCCTGACCGTCGGACTTGCCAAAGCCCTGATAAAGACGCAGACGGAGATTGCAAATGGGGCAGAGGTGGCTGTATTTGAGAATGCCAACAAGATCGTCGGCAAGACACACCTGAGGGAGTTTTTCGAAAGTAATCCAAAGTTGTGGGTAATTTGAACGGGGACATTGAAGGCGTTGATGGTGCTGCATTCTTTGACTCGTTGTATGGCCATTTGTAACATAACCTGGAATCATCTATCAGAGCAGAAGTTCGGAGTTGGTATGAGATCTACCTGCAGGTGACAGAGATCAGGACAACTAGACAAGCGGTTTGCCCTGCTTCGAGATTCCCCTCTGTACGATCCTCCAGTCTGCAAAAACATCGACTGGAGTACGAATAGTAAATTATTGGTGTCGGCCTCGACGAGACATTCAGATTTTAAGTACAACAAGGACCTCCGAAGCAACCATGAGATGGACAAATGGGTTGATCCCGGACTCTTTTGCAGTTGCATCAATCAGCGTCGCGAACTTGTCGGGCCCGCCTCGCACACCACCCGAAAGGGCAATTTGAGTGAAGTTCAGTGTGCAACGATGAATTTGAAATTAGGATTTGAGAGAGAGGGGTGGACGAAGCTGTGTCAATTCAAGGAAAGGGAAGGCCTAGCGGTGCTGTGGTTTGAAAGATAGATGCTGCATAGAGCGGTCATTTTTTGGCGGAGTTTATAGCGGTTGGCAAAACGAAATAAATGGCACAGGCACATTTCTGCACGCATTTGCCAACCACCATTTTCCGCAAACCATCACACTGTAACAGTGCCCCTCACTTTCTTTTTCAACGCCCCTCTTTTCCAAATTCCAGGATATAAAATCCCTCAGCTTTTACTTGCAAAAAGGTGCGTTCACCTTCTCCTTTTCACCTTCATTTCATCCTCAACCACGTCTTTGTATTGTTTCTTCAGCCTAAAAGCAAAATGTTCACCCTCTCCACACTTACGTTCTTGCTCGCCCTTGCCTTGCCTCTTCTCGTCCGTGCAGATGTTACTCCAGCTGAGCCAGCCCCAGGGGCATCGTTCAATGCTGGCTCCTCATGTACTATTACGTGGATTGGTGACAAAGCTTCCACGACGATTTGGAAGAACATGGCCATTGAGCTCATGACGGGGGATAACTATGACATGGTCCATCTCACCAGTACGTTTTCTATCGGAAGATACGCGCTTGTCAACTGAGCCCCGCCCTCAGCCGTTGCTACTAACCAAGACGGAACTGTCGATGGAAGTTTCTCATACACCTGCCCAGAAGTGAGCTTTAGAGTTTCCCTCTTCTTGAGATTTTGCAACTCACTTGTATTACCTCAGGTTACGCCAAACTCTGCCATTTACTTCTACCAGTTCACGTCGCCCCTGACCAACAATGCGACATGGACTGGCCGCTTCACCATTGCTTCGTCCACGGGCAATTCGACTCCACCTCCTAACGCTACTCAACCTGGCACAGGTGAGGCCATTCCATGGGGTACCGGCGCCCTGAACGACCCCTCGAAAGCCGTTGCTGCTCCCATCTTAAGTGGATCTGGAGCAACCTCCAGCACCGCGTCTGGGGTCTCTCTCTCCAGTACCGCCATGTCTATGGTGCGCTCCTCCTCGAGCGTTATGTCGTCGTCAGCATCATCTTCCGTTTCCTTGTCGTCGTCGGCCGCATCGCCTTCTACTTCAGCCAGCAATGGAGTAGCCGCAGCAGCGATTATTGATGGTCGCGTGTGGGCAACCATGATGTCGTTGGGCGCGTCAGCGATGGCTTTTATGCTGTTGTTATGATCCCGATGTGACTAAGAGCACACTGTGCTCCCCTGTTATCCTCTGCATCATTATTGGTTACGGACTTGGCTTTTCGTTATATTTATCAACGATTTACGATCTTGGGCATTCTATTTTCCCCTGGGTTTAGGTACTACACTAGCATAATCATCGTCACACCATGGAGTTGCTTGCACCGTTTGCTTTATCCATATCCTGAAGTCGAACGTTGTGACTGCGGGCTATATCAGCATGATAGATATCAATTACCCTCATACTAAGTACCCTCATCATTAATGAATGATCTGCGCATCACGTAAGGTGATCATGTAGGGCACAGGACCACCGGCAGTGTTTCTTCTTACCTCGTCCCTTCGCGTACTTCGCTAACTTGATGCTGGACCACGACTTCGCTTGTATCGGTTAAACAGATGGTGGCAATTCAACGGAATAATGATTACAGTATACACTGGACCCACATAAAATCTCTCGCTACCTTGCATGTCTGCGAAACATTTAGCCTTCCGATTGGGTATACAGGCCGATCCAAACCACAAATCAGGAGGCCGCACACCCTTATCTAATTCTTTGCTTATAACCCTGTACGGCCGGGGAAATAGGTCTTGACGATTTTTCTTTGAACCTTGCCGTGATCAATGACCGCTCGTAGAAGCTCATCCTGAGTGGGGTTAGGTTGGCGTTGACTTCAGACGGTCAGGGTCATGAACATATCGAGTCCAGTGACCAAGTGGTGCGGTATTAAGAATGTCCGTCCAACGTTTAGCGCACTCTGTTTGATGTAAGTTACTATCACTGATAGTCAACAGAGAAGGAGAGGACCTACGGTCACTGTTTGGGCCGGATTGGACGACTGAGGCAACAAGCGACCACATTAGTTTGTTCCGTATCTCGATCCCCTTCACCGACTTCTCGTCCTCATCGGGAGCCCAACCCCCTTTGACGACGTCTGAGGCCATCTTCGCAAACCACCTCTTGATCCCGACGTCAGTCAGCATAGCTAGCGAGAGGAGGGCCAAGTGAAACGCGGACCTCGTTGTACTGCCTCACGGAGGATGGTTTTCCACTGCGGTCCAGGATCTACGTCCTCTGCAAACCATTTGTTCAGTGGAAGGGATAACGCAAAGGAGCAAGGCTATAAGTATTGCGCGTTGTCGTGATGTTCATTGTACTAGACATACAAGATTAAGGAGGAGAACCACACTCGAGCGCTCAGCCAGATACATACCTAGATAAGTGTCGTAGATGGACATCCGTTTCCCAAGTGTCGATGACCGCGTTTGGGATTGGTCGTCCGGGTCCGAGAACCGTGGATTCTGTTACGCTAGGCGGTTAAGCGTTATTCGTTGAACCAACCAGGGTTGAAACACCCATATTAATTGTTAGAGTCTAGCGTTGGTTCAAATATTGAAGAAACCTTGACATCCTATGTCCGAGCTTATTATGCCGGTTTCGGATAGCAGTCCTACCAGAATCTACTCAGCCATAAATTCAGAGATAAAGAAAGAGACCTTTCATCGGAGTCTCTCCGACGAAATCAATGATCGTGGACCTTTCGCGAGAGCAAACTTTAGGTCGAGATCCCGTGTAAATTGGCAGACTAACATACAAGACTTTGGAAAATGAACCTATAGTAAAATTTCAAGAATCGGTGATTTGTGGATGGGTGATATCAGGAAGCTCAGTGATCGAATCCGAGGTCATGTCTATTCATGTTCATGTTAAATTCGTGGACGTTTCGAAAGACCAATTCCATGCTGTTTCGCCCTCACAGTGGCATTTTCCAAGGATTGTTTGAGAATCTGAGCGTGCTGGTTGTTGGCTGGTCGCTCATAATGCTTTGTGACTATATATGTACGAGTATGTATCACGAGTATGTCAATCTACTCACGTGGGTGTTGAATGAATACCCAACAGTTACAATACTGTACTATTTCGACCAAGTGTTCACGATTTTGGGAAATTTTTCATGCCGAGATGGCCGAAAAAATTTCTTTTGATTTACATAAGACGAATAAAAAAAAATAGTTTTTTTGTCGATGTGACGTGTGACGTGAACAACTTGGTCGAAATAGTACAGTATCAATGAACATGGATCCAGTAAGTGAGGCAGATATAATTCTCTTTCGAATAATCTGAAGCCTTTGCCAGCAGCTCCCCGCATCCCTTCGTGCTTGGCGCGATCACAAACCATATAATAATCCTGAATGGTACAAGCCATGGGAACAACTCTGGCCCTTCTTCCTTGAACATGGCTATGATCTCTTTTGTCTGGGGTCTGGAGGCAAGGCCAGTATCCCCGGCGGCACTTCCGCTCCTGCATTGGACTCCTTCGGGCTCTATGGTGATCGGGGGGATGAATTTTACAGTCAAATGGGACGCGTCAGTCAGGACTTTCTCGGTTCTTTTGCATTCTCTGATCATTTCCTTGCAGTACCCGCTGGCTTTTGCAGCTCGAGATAGGTTGGAAGTGTAATTCTTCCTTGTAATTTTTGCTCATATATGCCTCTCAGGAAAAACAGAGATGTAGTCATCAAGCTCGTTGCACATGGCGATGAGGGGCTCAACGAACTCAAGATCCTACATCTCCTCAATTCAGAACCACTTAGATCGGATTCTGCGAATTTGACTGTTCAGGTTCTTGAATTTCTGAGTTTTAGTGATTGGCAGTTTGTAGTGATGCCGTTCTACGATGGTTGTGATGAAGCGCCTTTCTTGCGGGCGTCGGAATGTTTGGACTTTGCAGAACAAGTCCTGTCAGTAAGTCAAAATTCAGGCGCTGGAACTCAGCGATGGGCTACTACTAATCTCTACTCAGACGTTGGCCTTCTTGCATTGCAATCATATTGCACACTTGGTTGGTCACATATTTTTGTATTTGCCCTATATCTCATCGCCCATGTAGGATATTTCCCATGAAAATATTGTGATGAATCATCATGGGAAGGTCCCAGGGGACCCATTCATCGACATTTGGCCCCCTCACGAATTTCGCTCAACCTTTCCTGTGCGATATTATCTCATGGATTTTGGATGTTCCGTCCACCTCCCACCCAACTTGCCCCCCCGGGATCGCCTGATCAAACCGTTTAAGATCGCGCGAGAGCAATGCCCCGCGGAAATGCTTGGGTCAACAAAATACGACCCCTTCGCAGCGGATATTTACGTAGTGGCAAGAGTCTTTTATGGCTTGTTCAGGGTACGGTTATCATTTCTTTGTTTAGTCTTCTATATGAAGCAAAGCTCTACTTCCAGGATATCGTTCCGGATGTTCCTGGATTGCTGGAGCTTCTGCAAGACATGTCATCTCACAATCCCTCAAGTCGAATCTCCCTCACTGTGGCACTAGATCGGCTGGAAGTGTTGAAGTCCCAGACACCCCCTCAGGTGCTGTCGCAGGTCAAACAGATTGGGCTATCTGCGTATCAGTTAATTCCTCAAAATATCAGTTAATTCTAGAAGCTTCTTCCGTACATTCTTTGAGATTATCTCTACTGGGCAATTGACGTTCGCCTGTCGGCTTGTATGGGCGAGCTTTCAAAAGTGGTGGTGGGTTTCTCTTCGTTTATTATATTATCTGTTCTTACGCTCCCCGAGGCTCAGCAAGGGCTCCAAGGAAATGGATTGAGAATTTGCCCTACCTACCTTGCTTTGCGGTCATCGAGATCATTGCATGATTTCGATTACCATTTTCCGCAAACCATCACACTGTAACAGTGCCCCTCACTTTTTTTTTCAATGGACTGGCCGGTTCACCATTGCTTCGCCCCTCCGCACGCTACTCAACCTGGCACGGTGACGCCATTCCATGGGGTACCAGCACCCTCAACCACCCCTCGAAAGCCGTTGCTACTCCCATCTCAAGTGGATCTGGTGCAACTCCCTCCACCACTTCTGGGGCCTCCCTCTCCGGCCCTGCGACGTCTGCGGCGCGCTCCTCCTCAAGCGTTATGTGATGCGTCGTCATCGTCATATTCAGTATCCCCATCATCGGCAGCATCGGCTTCTTCCACTTCAGCCCGCAATGGAGTAGCCGCAGCGGCGATCATTGATGGTCGCATGTGGGCGACGATGGCCTTTATGCTGCTGCTATGATCCTGTCGTGACTGAGAGCACACTGTGCTCTCCTGTTATCCTCTGCATCTTCATTGGTTACGGACTTGGATTTTCGTTATATTTATCATTGATTCATGTTCTAAGGCATTCTATTTTCCCCTGGGTCTACGTATTCCACTAGCATAATCATCGTCACACCATGGAATTGCTTGCATCGTCTGCTTTATCCAAATCATGAAGTCGAACGTTGTGGCTGGGGGTGATATCCCAATATGACAGATACGTGGTCACCTTACGGGATGCGTAGATCATCCATTATTGATGAGGTTAGTTAGTATGGGGAGTAATCGGTAGTGCAGGCTGAGAACCCAACTGCTGTAGTTTCTACTTACTGGACCCTGCGCATGCTTTTCGCTTCATTTGACTGCCACCAGATAGAACTTGAAGCTTGCTTGAGCTTGATGAATTGAGGGTGAAGCATGCCTGAAGCTCTTCAGCTCGCTTGTTTCGTCATCCAAACGAATGGTGACAAGTGCTCTCCATTCAACGATGCGATGATTACAATCTACACTAGAGCTACATATATGGCATCTCGCCCTACCTTGCATGTCTGCGAAACATAACCTTAGCCTTCCGATTGGGTATGCAGGCCGATGCAAACCACAGATCAGGAGGCCGCACACCCTCATTCTCCATCTTCACGTCGTAGTTGAGAACTGTATGCGCAAGCATGATCTTGAGCTCGCAAGCAGCAAAGAAGCGTCCGGGACACGCATGGCGTCCATGCCCGAACAGCAAGAACTCTGGGGAGGTGGTGACTATATCGTATTTCCTAGCACCATCCTGCCGCAGCCTCATTTTCGCAAAGCGAAAGCCGTCAAACTGATCAGGATTGTCGTACTTTTCTGGATCGTTGTGAGCTGGCGTACAATTGACACAGACTGTGGTTCCTTTGGGAATGAAGGTGCCGTCCGCGAATGTGTAATCCTTCCTAGCAACTCGCCCCATCAAGACTGTTGAAATGGTAGTCGTCAGCATAAGCTATCCGCGAGAAAGAGCAACACTAACGATTTCCGATAGGGTTCATTCGCTGTGATTCCTTGATGAAACTGTCGACCTTGTGCATCTGATCTAAACCTTCTTTGCTCCAGCCTTCTCGTTCGATGACCTCGTCAACTTCTGTGCGAAGGGGTGCGATATATTCGGGTAAAGCAGCTAGACAGAATAAAGCATGGACAAACGACTGTGTAACCCCCAACACGCGGTGAGTTGGGTGACTGGAGAGGCGTCGACATGGAATAACCCACATTTGAAGATGACTGAATAGCCGCAAAGTTGACAACTAAGACGCGTCTCGTATGTCGTGAATAAGCCATGACAGAAAGTCAAGCTAAGAGTAGTTGAGCAACGGGATCAAGGTTGAAGGAAGAAAGAAAACTGACCGGCTTCTCATACCCATCTCCAACTTTTTCCTGTTCCTCCCCGCGAGCGTCAACAATGGGTTTAAGGTGCTTCAACCCTTGCTGGAAACGTCCCGGAAGCCTTGAAAAAAAGCGGTTGACAACCCTATTGCGGATATTTGAATTTCACAACTTGGATTGAAGAAAGTTCAAGTAATACTCACGGCCTTAGGAAAGGTGGTACCAACTGAAGAAAGGTGGTCATGGCGAGAAGTTCGGTAGTGAATTGCATGCTAAGCTTGAGGTATTCTGGGTTGCGGCCTGCAGGAAACACGTTGGAAAGGAGAAATCCATGACATTGACAATGGGGGCTGACTGACACAAAGGAAGACCGACGAAGACACGGTTGCTTGCTTGGCATATCACCTCCGTCATCGTCTCTAAAGCCGTAAAGCTCTTCCAACCTGGTCATGACTTTGTAAGGGACTACTGAGAGTCTGAGAAGGCCTTCTGCAGAAAGTAGCTCACCGTGATCGTTGGGTGAGATGACTAACTCATCAAAAGCAGAGACAATTTCGTCATGTACTTCTGGAACAAGTTTTGGAAGGGCCCTAGTGAGTTGTGACCGGACAATAGATACGTGGTGTGGTGCTTCGCTGCAGCCGGGGCCAAGTGTGTAAACCGTCTGAAGAAACTAGCAACAGACAGATCGTTAGCAAAAGCACACTTACCCTAGAATAAGGAGTAAGATACCTCATCTTGAGTATCAGAGAATGACAGCGCATCCTCAGGGGCTGAACGCAGTTCTTCAATTGCACCAGACCCAGAAAATACAACCTTCCAATGTAAGAAGTCTGGTATTTTGAAAACTCGGATTTGATTCGGGAACTACTATAACCCGTCAGTGTCAGAATGGTGCTGATTTTTATGACGTACTTTGGCAACAGTCTTGTCGACATAGATCTTTCCATTGGACAAGTAGTGAGTCGAGATAGAATAAAATTGGCCCGTCAAATCTCAAGGTAGGGATATGCTTCAGCTACAATAATGGACGGTCAACCGACTGAAACGGGAATGCTTCAGTAACGCACTTTACGGGTCTTGCCAACGTAGTGGACCAGCAAGACGACTCCGAATATGCCAATGGCAGTAAGATGAGAGAAGGTCAAGAAAAGGTGCATGAGATTTTAGCGAAAAGTAGAAAGTGGTGCTGCGGTTGATGTGATTCGGACCTCAGATGGGGCTAAGTATTATTGATTTGGCGGATTTGGTGGAAGATGTTATGTATCAGAGGATGAAGGAGCAGAAAGCAAAGAACTAATTGGGGAGTAACGAGTACGATATTAACGGTATGCTGCTGTCCTTGATGAAGGGGACTTGGCGAGTAGCTCTTTTCAACCTGTACCTCAAGGGGGTGTCGGGATTAAAAAAAAAGACCTAGGGTCGATTTTTTTGGTAGTGAGCGCTGGGCTGAACCAACCACCCAACGTAATCAGGCACATGTCTACTTTAGGAAATATGACGTCACCGCCGTGCTCCTGGTTCTCCTTTCGACGTTGAAAATGCATTGCAGACCCAATGCATGGGCACCTGTGCATGGCAAACACAAATGAGATGATATTAGAATGGTTTGACGTGAAGATGTAAATAAGTTTCATGTTGAAACCCTAACAGAAAGTAGGTTTACTTATCCACACAGTTTCACATCCCACTGGATCACATTGTTGGCGGTTAGCTCTGCTCGGGATCCACAAAAACAATCCTCTAATCCTCCAATGTCAACAACCTTACATTTTCATCTTTCACACTGACCTCATGTTTCCTTGTTGACAATTTCCGAGCTTGAAATAGGTGGCCTATGAACCTCGTTGGTGTCAGAATGAGTCACGGCATGAGTGTCCTGTTCTGTGGAATCTCATGGTGAGTTTGCGTGCCCCGGAATATGCTAACAAATCATAATCAAAGGTCTTTGACGGTTGCCACACTAACGAAAATTATCAATGCATGTTATTATTGCCTTATGTAAGCAGTCCCATTGGTGTTTTTGGCGCATCCTGAGGCATTTAGCACACCTTGAGGCTTTCTAGTATCTATTATGTATACTTTATCCATCAGGAAGGCCGTCTATAATGATTTTGGGCCAAAATTTTTGAGCTTCCAATTTTTTTTTAACAGCCTGACGGCCCAACCAACCAACCGGCCCCCGGTCCGGGATTATGATCCCGACACCCCCTTGCTGTACCTCTACAAAATTATATCTATGTATCATGCATATCGGCCTCAAATCTTGGTCCTTGAGTCTATGATTATTGCAAAATGGGGGACACTACGTAATATTCAAAGAATGGCACCTCAGACATTCCTAATCTTTATCCTAGCTTATAAAGAATGAGGGGCATAGAAAGAGCGACAAAAAGAACGGTGGAGTTGATGGAAGAGAAGGTGGGGGACGAGGAGCTAATCATACAAGGTGAGACAAGAAAAAAGAGGGTAGAGAGTCTGTATCGGATCATGGGGACAGGCTAGAACCGAGCAAGAACCGAGGGGTGCCTGCACAGAATGATTACCGAAGAAAGACATGGTCAGCCTACACAAACAAAGGCATAGAAGTTGGCGAGACGAACTTGGGGGAATCGGCGATATCACCGTCGAAGTTGACAATGACGAGATGAATCACAAGAAGATGTAAAGAAAAACAGAAAGGGTAGACGAACATGAGGACCAGCTAGGAGGGAAGGGGAAGACAAGGCAATAGTACTAAGGGGTGACAACAGACAAGCCAGTGACACACTAGGAAGGTACACAAACCTAATCCAGAAGACGGGTGCCGGGGAGGACCTCCTTAATGCGCTTTTCCAACTCACAATAGGGGGTGGCGTATGTAACGTCGGTGGAGTCAGTGACACCGCCGCCGCCAGTAAGCAGGCCGACAATGCGGCCACCCCGCTCAACGATAATTGATCCAGAGTCGCCGTCACTGGAAAAGGGGCCCAGCAAAGGACGTTTGTTATGAGGAACGATTGTGAGCTCGCGTGTTGTAAAGTGGGTGTCAATGTGCTGGTAATAGCGAACCAGGGACCTCAAGCCGCTTATCCATCCAACAGTGGTGCCCGTCGACCTCCCGGTCTTGATGACCGCCATCGCGGGTTCGCCCATCGCGTTGAGCTGTGTGGGGGAGCGAATCTCATCCAGGGGAACAACTCCCTTGATGCGGAGGAGGCCGTGCGGTGGGTATCCATAGTCCCTCCGGTCGCTGGGGTCCGGGAACATTGTCTTCAAGAAGGTTTTTTCATCGAGTTTGTCTCCTGTATAAATCAAGTGTCAGGGTACATGTGTTTGTCAAGTGAAGTAGGAGACACACCAATAAACATAGTATTACCCTTGAAATCAGCGCCGAATGCATCCTTCCGAAGGCCAATGACAGCCCAGTCCCACGTGCATGCATCAGGCCCGTTAGAAGAGGCCTTGATGGAATCGGCATACACCACCCGTCCGATGCAGCGACTCCTGGGCGCAAACATAGTTGCGGCACGATTAGCAAGCTGGTCGAGCCGCATCATGGACTCCTCCCAATTTTTGATATTCTCCTCAGAAGCTCTGATATCACCTCTAATTGTCTCATCCTCATCAGCCTCGCCGTTATCCAGTTTAGCCTGCAGTGAATGTATCTTGTTCTGTTCAGCTTGGATAGTCTGTCTAAGGATCAGGAACTTCTCTCGAATGTCCAAGACCGCACGGTTGTAGGAGTCAGTCCCGAGCAGAATGATGTCCTCGTGGTGCTTTTCAGCTGATATTACTGACAAACGCCTGTTATCAGTAAACTTCGGAGGGGGATGTGCAACGTGGGCGGCGGTCAGAGCTAACAAGTCTTCACCGTGCATAAGAAATAGGCCGAGCGAGCCCTCACACGTGGCTTGCTTGAGAGGCGCCACTGGGATGCCGAGGGTGGATGTAAACGGGAGGTAGACTTTAGACAGTGTTTTGTGGAGCACGGGGTCAAGAGCCGGGAGATGGGCGCCGAAGAGGAAGCTCTCGAATTCCCATATAGCAACTTCGACGTCGAAATCAGCCTCTGCAAGAATGACTTTTACAGATTCTGCTTCGGCCTTTGCATCCTCGAAGGCCACTTTTGAAGGCTCGACACCTATCACTACCACCAGCGGACAGAAAGGCTTTGCCTCTCCTAAATTAGCAAATGCTAGGGGCATCACTGTGGTGAATGGGACGGTAGTGGAATGTAGTTGGAGGTGTTGGTGTATGCGGGTCAAAACGTCTTCCCAGATGGGTGCGATCAGGTGACCGTTGACGGGGCGCAACTCGCACCGCCAGGGTGGGCCATTGGGCTCCTCGTTCTTTATCCAAGGTGGGCCAGTTTTGAAGAGAAAGCCGCGGCCGCTGCGCAAGCTGTACGTGTCCGTACAGGCGTCGGGGTAGTTTTTTGTGAGGGGGGTTTGGTCGAATGTATCGTAGCCGGACTCGGTTGGCGAGGCAAGGGTGTCGGTCGGGGAGATGGGCGAATCAAGCTCCTCGCAAGAAACTTTGAAAGTGCGGTTGCCAAGGTCAGGCAACGATTGGGGAACGTCATTGATGATCAAGGGAGGGTTTAGGAAGGGAAAATTAGCGACGGAGGCGGATGAACCAGGGGACTTACGTTCTAACCAGCTTTTAACAGGTGACTCATCCAGAGACTTCGTTTGCAGCGTGAGTCGCCCTCTTTCCCCTTCCAACGTGGATGATTTGGCTGGAACAGGCATGTGCGATGAAGGAGGGGGTTCCTCGGTAGAAGGCCCTTGGTACATGTCCAACTAATTGCAATGAGATTAGTGATGTAAAATGACAGCAGGTCAAAGGATAAGTTAAGAAAAGTGATGAGAGCCATTTCGGTCTCGGGTCTGATACATAAACTTGCGGTTGAAAATTGGCAGATTGAAGAAACGTCTTGAGCATTCCACATTATGTGTTGACCAAAATGCGGAAATAAAAAAAATGTTCAACGAACTTACGCGGTTTAATTGCCTGCAGGCAATCTCGTCCAGTTGATTGAGGTTTACAGGAAGGCGGTTGAGGACTGGCATGGATACCGCTTTCACGGTAGCCTCTAACGTCTCCGCACCAAACTGCCAGCAAAATTAGACTCCAAAGGAATGTTTAGAGGAGAATGGATGTGAATGTACCTTGACAACACGAGATGATGCTTTTCCCTGCTCGTAAACACGTAGCGCAGAGCCAACGAGAGGGAACTGTGACATGCGGGCAAAGAACCTGGGGGAACTGGGGCTGGTTTGAGGCTGGGAGTTGAGCGTCGGGGGGGGTTGAGGTGGCGGGATGGAGGACAAGGTACCAGCAGGAGGAGATGAGGAGGAGGCTACAGGGAGTGAAGAGGAGGTACTTTCGGTCAGTGTAAGGGCATTGACAACGAACATAGAGATCACCTTCAGAGCATTGATTCTTTCGCATATCGCCTACAGCGGTGTGGACGCTGTCCCCTTGATTGTCGAGGTCGTTGGCGGAAAGGCGGTCCATCGTAGAGGACAGAATGAAAGAGGGTTGGAATTAAAGAAGAAAAAGTCATAGTACTAACCAACAAATTCAATGACGTCAGTGGTTATGTACATGCAATACGACCCTAAGTATGAACAAAATCACATGATGTTTTCTGATTTGTCCATGGGCATATAAGTAGCGGTAATGACCAGCTTCGCTGAGGCAGAGTGCAAGAAAATGGTCTGCACGTTACACATATCCAACACCTTGCCAACACCTCTCTAGATCTCTTCTTTCTCGAGGGCGGGTGACGAAGCACTGTGGGAAAAGCTCCAAAACCTAGCGCAGCAACAGTGATAAACTCTTTTCACTCGTACTTACAACCATGGAACTTACAAGTGAGCCCCCAGGTTTATCTGCCGTCGTCACTGACCGTCCCTTCTTAGACCCTCCCTTGATCATCGATGGCGTCCCCCAATCGTTCCTTGAGCTTGGCGACCCCGTTTTTGATGTTTATACCAAGCTTGATTCACCCATTTCCCTGACCGACTTCCTTGAATCGGACACCTTTGTCTCCTCCAAGTCTGACAAAGTCGACCGAACCCGCCTCACCGACAACTACCCCAACGCTTATTCCGACACCTACGGCTTGCGCAGCGGCCGAGGCTTCATCTTCAAAACTGGCCCAGCCTGGCCTAAAGGCCAAGTACCCTATGGCCGCCCCTTGCCGCATGAGTTGCGCCCCGTCAACGCTCACCCAATCACGCCTGTGTGGGACGACATCCTCACACGCATAGAGACATGCCTTCAAGAGGATAAGCTGCCATTTACTGCCGTCATGCCACTGGCATTTGCCACAGTAGGAGACGGAGAGCCCTTTTGCCCCTTGGTCGTGGTGATCGGTGTTGAGCCCACAAAGGTGGCGTTTAAGGATGCAAAGACTGTTGCCGAGTCCGTCAGACTGATCCTCGTCGAGGTTGGCTTCGACGATGTCGACGTCGCTATCTGGGAATTTGAGACATTCCTCTCCGGTCTCAATCTCCCAGCTCTCGACCCCGTGCTTCACGGCAATCTCACTAAGTTTCATCACCCATTCGTGTCTACCCTCGGCATCCCCGTGGCGCCCCTCAAGCAGCCCAAATGTGAGGGCACGCTCGGCCTGTTCCTTACGCGCGGTGATGGCACTGAACTCCTGGCCTTAACCGCCGCCCATGTTGCGTGTCCCCCCTCAACATTTTCAGATAACAAGGGCGTGTCATTGAAGGCAGCCAAAAGGTGCTGGGAGGAAATAATCGTGCTTGGGGATGACGCCTACGCCCGTGCAATTACGGACATCCAATGCGAGGTCAGAAACTTCAAGAATAGCATTCCAGCAGGACAGATGAGCATCCCTTCGCTGCAGACTCGTCTAGACAACGGCGAGGCCGATGCGGATGGGAGAATCCGCACTGCTATCAGAACTGCCCAGAGGCAAGAGACAATTTGCAAGCAGTCCATCAGGAAACTCCATAAGCTATACAGCTGGGTCACGCTGAAGATGCCCATCCCCAGTAATCACTGCATCGGACGGGTGGTGTTCGCTGACCCCATTGGGACCTCCTCCAACGGACCTGATGCATTCACTTTGGACTGGGCTCTCATTGCAATCAGGAAGGACACATTCGGTGCTAATTTCATTGGTAACACCATGTTTGTTGGTATGCGCACAGAGGACAAACTTGAGGAGCAAACATTCCTGGACCTGATGTTTCCCCACCCCAACGACCATCAGGGCTATGAATACCCAGAGTGGGGCCTCCTCCACATCAGCGGCGTTGTTCCCATGGATGAGATTCGCTACCCTAAGCAGCTCAATGAGATGGGCGAACCCGCAATGGCCGTCATCAAGAACGGGAGGTCTACAGACACCACCGTTGGTTATGTGAGCAGCTTGAAGTCCCTTGTGCGCTACTCTTGCAAGGATACCGATCTTCAGTTCACATCCCGCGACCTCACCGTCGTCCCCTATGGCGGTGATCCTTTGGGCAGTGCCGGCTTTTCTGGTGAGGGTGACTCGGGTTCTGTCATTGTTGAGCGGAGTGGCCGTGTTGTCGGCTTGCTAACTGCTGGTGGGGGCCGCAGCGGCGCCACCGACTCTACTGATGTTTCCTTTGCTACCGCATACTGTGAGCTCGAGAAGCGCATCAAGGGGGTCTTCCCCGGCATCCGCCTCCTCGACTAGGTTTGTATACTCTCTTTTTCTTTATTTTCTTCCATTTAATAGATCATGCTGTTCTCTGCTAAGTACCTCCGTCCAATCAATCTTTATTCTTTCATTCGCACAGTTATTTTATTCAAATCATAGCGCGACCTTTGTATGAAACGCCATACTTTACTTAATGAGTGATTCCTTCCCACAGCTATGTAACACATCGCTTCATTCGACTACCAACCAGAGCACAAGGCCCAGGACTTGAAGCTTGAGACACAGTATTCGTTCTTATGGATGCTCTTGACCTCGCGACTTGTTTCGTCATATGGGGCCAGACCCGGGATAGTGACAAATGCTTTCCATTGGACGGAATGATGATAATTAGATGATTACAATATACACTAGCCCTACATAGCATCTCTTCCTACCTTGAATGTCTGCGAAACATTACCTTCGCCTTCCGATTGGGTATACAGGCCGATGCAAACCACAGATCAGGAGGCTGCACGCCCACATTCTCCATCTTTACGTCGTAATTGAGAACAATGTGCGCAAGCATGATCATCTTGAGCTCGTCAGCAGCAAAGAAGCGTCCGGGACAAGCATGGCGTCCGAACAGCAAGAACTCTGGGGAAGTGGTGACAATGTCGTATTTCCTAGAGCTACCATCCTGCAGCAGCCTCATTTTCGCAAAACGAAAGCCGTCAAACTGATCAGGATTGTCGTACTTTTCCGGATCGTTGTGAGCTGGCGTACAATTGACGCAGACTGTGGTTCCTTTAGGTATGAAGGTACCGTCTGCGAATGTGTAATCCTTCCTAGCAACTCGCCCCATCAAGACTGTTGAAATGGTAGTCGTCAACGTAAGCTGTCCGCGAGATGGAGCAACACTGATGATTTCCGATAGGATTCATTCGCTGTGATTCCTTGATGAAACTGTCGACCTTGTGCATCTGATCTAAACCTTCTTTGCTCCAGCCTTCTCGTTCGATGACCTCCTCAACTTCTGCATGAAGGAGTGCAATATATTTGGGTAAAGCAGCTAGATAGAATAGAGCATGCACAAACGACTGTGTAACCCCCAACACGCGGTGAGTTGAGTGACTGAAGGGGCGTCGACATGGAATAACTCACATTTGAAGATGAGTGAATAGCCGCGAAGTTCACGACTAGGACGCGTCTCGTGAGACTTTCTATAGTTTGCTCTTCGTCTTTCGCTTCATCCACAAGCCATGATAGAAAGTCAAGCTAACAGTAGTTGAGCAATGGGGTCGAGGTTGAAGGAAGTAAGAAAACTGACCGGCTTTTCATACCCATCTCCAACTTTTTCCTGTTCCTCCCTGCGAGCGTCAACAATGGGTTTGAGGTGTTTCACCCCTTGCCAGAAACGGCCCGGAAGCCTTGGAAACAAGCGGTTGACAACCCTATTGCCGACATTTGGGTTTCACAATTTGTAATAAGAAAACTCCGAGGAAGACTCACGGCCTTAGGAATGGTGGTACCAACCGAAGGAAGGTGGTCATAGCGAGAAGTTCGGTAGTGAATTGGACACTGAGCTTGAGGTAGTCTGAGTTGCGACCTGTGAACAACGTTCGAAAAGAGGAATCCATGACGATGACAATGAGGGCTGACTGACACAAAGGAAGACCGACGAAGACGCGGTTGCTTGCTCGGCATACAACCTTCGTCATCGTTTCTAAAGCCGTAAAACATGTTTTGGAAAGGCCCTAGTGAGTTGTGACCGGACAACAGATACGTGGTGTGGTGCTTCGCTGAAGCCGGGGCCGAGTGTGTAAACCGTTTGAAAAAACTATCAACAGCCAGATCTTAGCAAAAGTACATTTACCCTGGAATAAGGAGTAAGATACCTCATCTTGAGCATCAGAGAATGACAGCGCATCCTCAGGGGCTGAACACAGCTCTTCAATTGCATTAGACCCAGACAGTACAACCTTCCAATGTAAAGAGTCTGGTATTTTGACGACTTGATTGGGCAACTATCATATTTCGTCAGTGTCAGAACAGTTTTGAGTTTTGCGACGTACTTTGGCAACGGTCTCGTCAACATAGGTCTTTCCATTGGAAAAGTAGCAAAGTGTGTCGAGATAGGATAGAATTGGCTAGTCAAATCCCAAGGTAGGGATATACCTCAGCTACAATGGACGGTCAACCCACCACTGAAATGTGAATGCTTCAGTGAACGCACTTTACGAGTCTCGCTGAAATAGTGGATCAGCACGACGATTCCAAATATGATGGCAGTGGGAAAAAAGAGGTGGTTAGGGAAGCTTTCGTAGGTTGAAGGAAGCCAATGGAGGGTGGCTGCCATGGCTAGTTTGCAGGCAATAGTCCATCGAGACTTGCGTATACGTATCCCATTTCCGAGTCAAAATGCGTCACCCATCAAGATGATGGCTTCGAAAGAAGTACATCTGAGGCAGACACGCCTTGAGTTCCATTCTGCCCTCTACAAGGGTGTAAATCTGGAGAACAAGCATGATTCATTGGAATCCAACCAAAATTGTGTCAACTTCAAACTCACCTTCCACTATGCAGTGCCGTATGCCTATAAGCCCCTGAAGAGTTCAGTTGATGAAACCAATTGTGGGTATTGTGTTAGTGCGGGGCCGATGTCGCGGTGCCGGACTTGATTCAAGCAGAGGCAGCCAGTCGCGTCTGCTTCTAAGGTTTTGCTTTCTTTTATGTCCTTCAAGTTGAGGCTACTCTCTCAACATTTATGCCAGTGCAAACCCACAGTCGCATCCTTCTCGTCGCCGACGTTCCAGTCCTGGGGGAACAAAGATCGAGAATTAGCTGCTTTTGTGTTGGCAGGGCATGATGCATGATATGTATGTCGGACTTTTTTTTTGCTGGTTGCAACCGGCCGGAGTTTCAATCATGATTATGTCGGAGTTTGAACCAGTTGTAATTACTTGCCTTTGTTGACACTTGGTTGCAATCACAATGCAACGACGTTCCAATGGCTTAAACGAAGCACAGTAGATTTCATAAAAATTTGTATTCTATTGGAAAGAGCCCCACATACTATTCATTAATTACAGGAAAAAACCTCCCCTATGTTACAGCACTGGAAGATTTTCATGTTTTAGTTTGGGTGAGAGATTGGATATATGAGCGGCCTTGGGAGTTTTCTAATAGGTCCTGTAGTCGAATGGTTATGTTGCACTACAAATTTGTAGTCTTTGCGCACGTAGGCCACGAGCCCGAGGTTTTTGGTTCAATCCTTGACTGATGCACTTTTCTTTATAAACATTTCATCGGTCGATCAGTAAATTTATTGATGGCTATATTAGTATGGGGAGCCCGGTTGAATCCGGCCTCAACCCTGGTTCCAACCCGATTTGAACCAAACACTCTTCCATTTCAAGCGGTTGAGACGGCCACCGGCGATTGGAATGGTTGTAACCGGTAGATACCGGTTGTAAGCTAAAATAGGAAAGTCCAACATAGTTGGAGTGGGCGTACTTTATCATCCAGGACATCAGTCGTTTTCCGTTCAACGAGATAATTGCCGCGTCGTGCGGAACCAAGAAGAGAAGTCGTACACATTGCGAGGTTCTTGAAGTCTCTTCAAGTTGATCACGCTAGTAGTGAATGCAGGGTTTGAGTTGGAAAGCCCTGATAACAATGTCCAGCAAATATACTAGCGTCACGACCAGCCACCAACTGTCGCCCCTCTTCTTTGTCACCTCCATACTTCACGGAAGAAATTGGCTTTCGTCCAAAGAGTTCCGACGTGAGTTGTATAAAAACATTATTAGCCTCTCAGGCTCAGCTTGCAGTTAGCGACCATTATCCAGGGATTGTGATTTGCCAGGTCTTGCCAAGGTCTAACTCCAGCGAAGGGATGTTCGCCATTTTGACGATACCCACTAATTTTGTTGCTGGCGTTCGTCCGAGCCAACACCTCCAAGTTTCGTTGGCGCAGTTGTCACCCTCCTAAGACTCACCAGGCCCATATGTTAAGTTCAATGCAGGGCAGTTGTGCTTGATTAAATGGAAGGATAAAAGAAAATGCCCATCGAGTTTTCCTTGACAGTAAGACTCATCCCCTTCAAATTCAACACATCCGACACTGGCTGACATCCGTCTTCAGCCATTGCTAATAACCAAGACGGAGCTACTGATGGCCAATTCAATTATACTTGCCCAGATGTGAGTTGTTGATACTGATGTGATGCTGAATGAAACAACTAACTAGATATCCCACTAGGTGACACCATACTCCGGCATTTACTCCTACCAGTTAGCCTCATCCGTGGCCAGTAACAAGACATGGACCACTTGCCTCACCATCGCTTCTCCCGAAAGTGCCTCCGTTGCCCCTTTCAACGCTACCCAGCCAGATGGCACCACAATTCCATGGGTGCAGGAGCGCTCAAGGATCCCTCAAAGGCTATTGCTGCTCCCAAGTTTAAATCTATCAATACCATCGCTCCCGGCGGACTTCCTTAGTTGTTCTCGACATCATTGTCCAAAGCGTCAGCCTCCGCTGTCAGCAGCCCAGCCATAGGATCAATAAAAGCGGAGAGTACAGGCCAGGCAACTTGGGTCTCGCTAGGATGTCAGCGATGGCTTTGATGCTGTCACTCTGACTGGGCTTCCGTCAGACTCATGAATTGGGCTCCTTCCGTTATCTTGGCAAATCCGTTACACTACATGATAGTACAACCCCAACCTCCACCCTCCCGTTCCTCTTCCCTCGCCCGTCTCAGTGCCGCCGCTTGACGCTGAAGTTCCAGAAGTTGGAATTCCGCTCTTTGTGCCTCAAGAAATTGGTTGTCAGCGACAGGTGCGTGAACATTGTTTGGTTCCGGCTAATTTATCCACTGTGGAGCAACGTCGTATATTCCTCCGTGTTCTGTCTCCATGTGGGCGTAGATTGTTTCTGCAGTGAAGACACCCATACACCTCCAGCAAATGTGAGCGCCACATTTACACGACATATGGTTGCATCCTTCCGTCTTCTCTAACCAGACACCGCAGGTTGGGCATTTCTTGACACCATTCATAGCAGCCCACTCGTTGGTCAACCTTTCTTGTTCAGCCGGGCTACTGTAAAACTTTCTTTCATCACATGTTATACCCTCGTGAGCTTCCTCATGGCACGAAGGACAGATCGTTGATAAGCAAGAAGGACACTGGAGGACTGCTTTGGTTGAATTACTTTGATAGATCTGACTACAATCCGGAGTTGTGCAGTACTTCAGCTCTTGTGGATGTTTGTCGAGATATGAAAGGAAGGCGACTTCGATGAGGCAGTTGAATCATTGTTCAGTGAGGAACTTCTTAATGATGGGAATTGATATTGGTGTGTCGCAGGTGGCCTCATTGCCCATACAAACGAGTGGGAATTTCTTTGTGTCTTGCGCCAAGGTCAGATAGTGCCGAAGACACGCAGTGCAATATGTGTGTCCACAACCAAGGCTTTCAGGGTGTGGAACCGTGTCATAACAGATGAGGCAGATGTCGTCCCCATCCGCTGCATGATTTTGCTCCAGGCTGAAGTTTGTGAGTGATTCATCCAAAAGCCTGCTCAAGTGGTGACGAGCTTCATCTCCACCCTTGATTGTCAGTCTGCAGGGCATGGAAGCTAGATCAAGGGAAACATTGTCCTCTCCGAGGACTTCCTTCAAGGCAGCTAATCCTTGTCTCACGAAGTATCCAACGGATTGTCGTTTGAGGGGAATAACCCACTCCAGAAGCGAGAGTCTTTCAACTTCTTCCTTGATCAACTCCTTGGCTTTGTCCACCATTTTGGTATTGCCGTAAACTCTCAGAGCCTGTATCTTCGTATCTGTTCGAACATAGGCCCCACACGTTTTATGGACCTGATGCAGGAACCGTTGTCCAGCGGCCGTGAAAAAAGAGTGGTGCCAATAGCTTGCGTCAAGACGCTCCCTGCCAACGAGACTTTCGACTCTGACTTTGAGAGCACCCACTGCTTTTTTATCATCCCCTGTAACCATGATAACCACATGACCATCTGGGCAATTTTGGATGTGAAGACTGAGGACATCTGGGTAATGGAAACTCCGAAAAGTCCGACCGTCCGACCCATTGTCCGACTGTCCGGCATATCCGGCAGCATTAATGTACAGAACCGAAAGCCAACGGTTCATCCGTGCAGTAAGCACGATTAAGTGATAATTTAGTACCAACTCCAAGCCAAGTAAGTAAGTAAGGAGTCCAATAAATACTCCCTCTAAATCCATACCAGCCCTGAGCCAACAATCCCAACAGAACCACACCCAGCACGCGCAGGCATGCGCACGACCCACCCATCTCCTGTGCCTCCAAAACCCAAGCCACTCCGAATCGAAATCACACAAACCCTTCTTTCCCCCGCCAGAACTGGACCCCGTCACCATGGAGGGACAAACAGCGCCATTCTTAGCCAGCTCCGAAGCAGGTATCAAAACCTATGCGTATCATCGTCAGACGTCAGCCACCATATTTCAGTCACATTAGGCGATGAATACCTGAGGCAACCCACCAACAACAGCCACACTAACGCCTCCGCTCCCATCCGCCTTGACAATAGCACAAGATGACATGTCTACCAGGACTTCATTCACACCTACCACTCCTGAGGCAACCCAGGTAGGTGATCAGGTTACTGAGGAGCACTACGAGGGGTGGCTTTGAGACTGCAAGGAGGTATGCGTTTTGTGGGTTATGGGCTATAGCTTTGGTATGTGGATGAGCGTGAGGGAAAGAGGGAAAAAAGGGGGATAAGCTCACAGGCATGGTAAGGAACGACCTAGCAGCGGCTTGCACCGTGAGCGCTTGACAGAAATGGTGGAGTTGACCACGGCTGCCGTCACAGTGGTTGAAACACATATCTATACCCATTGTGAAGCACAACTATCAGAGTAAGGATATCGTGTACTCACCGAAACCATGAAAAACGTAGGTGTGTAGGTGATCAAAACAGCAGAGAGTCGTGTTCAAACACAACGGAGCGCCAAATGGACGAACGAAGGGTCGGCCGGACAAAGGGACAGTCGGCCGGACAATCGGGACTTTCCAACTCCCCGACTTTTTGTGAAGACCAGCCTTGCCATTTTCTCTCCCTTCCATGAGCGAGTTCCATAGCTTGCTCTGAGAATCGTATTGCATGCATGGAATGTTGATGACGTACTGAAGCGCTTTGGGGAGTAAAGTTTCAAGAAAAGGGTAATCATGGCGGAGCTTGGTCTTGTCCAGTGTATCTGAGACAGATTTTGCTGCCTCCCAGGTATGAAACCAAACCTTTACGCGGAGGGTGTCATCCCTTTTGTTGCTCAGGCTGGGCATGCTGATGAATGACTGAGAAACGACGCCGGGGCAATTCTCGAGGTAATTGCGCAGAAATGCGGTGAATTCTTGAGGATCATATGTCAGTGAAGAGACAACCTGGAGGGTGCATGTTCCAGAGAATTTCTCAACATCAGCTAATGGGACATTTGGGAGCAAGTTCATGAGTTCGATTGAAGCTGCCAGGTTGTGGCGCAAACCTCGACTTGGCTGATCCATGACTGCTCTCACTTTGCACCTGTTACAAATTTGCCCATCAAGCGCCTTGGCCATGACTCTTGCTAGACCAATCGACGTGTATGTGGCAATTATTGATGTGGTTGGAACTTTCCAGGTGATGGTCAGAGTTTTGCAGTTGTCGCCTGATGAGCCCATAGAATCCAAGGATGCATTTACGCTGACTTCAAATCGTAGACGCTCATCTCGAAATTTGATGCCGTCCAATGCAAGCGTGATGACTTCACCTTGCTCTGCCCTTGCCAGAACCGTCGCCTCTGTATGCCCACCATTGGGCTTCATTTCAAGCAGAAAAAAGTCTTTTGGATCCATGCCCTGTTGGGAGAAAATCCCCACTACCTCATCTGGCTTGGCGTTTCTCAGGAGGCGCTTCACAAGAATTCGACAAAGGTCAAAACTGCCTATAACACCACGAATGTCGATGCCTGCACCGCATGTCACCAAGCTGGAGCCTAAAACCACTTGCTGCACAGTTACCCGAGCTTCTTGTGCTCGACGCTCTGCTAGCTGGGCTTGCCGAGCTTTTCGCCGTTTGGCTTCCTCTCACTGTTCCCTCGCTTTTTGCGCAGCTAGCTGATCTCGCTCTTCTTTCACTTTTCGTGCAGCTTCCATTCGCTCTTCTTTCGCTTTCCGTGCAGCTTCCATTCACTCTTCTTTTGCTTTTTGTGCAGCTTCCATTCGCTCTTCTTTTGCTTTTTGTGCAACTTCCTTTCGCTCTTCTTTCGCTTTTCGTGCAGCTTCCTCCTGCTCTTCTCTCGCTTTCAGTGCAGCTTCCTGTTCTTCTTCTTTGGCTCTCTGTTCAGCTTCTGCTTGTTCAACTCTGATTTTTTGTGCGGCTTCCTCCTGTTCTTCTTTGACCTTCTGTTCAGCTTTCTCTTGTTCAGCTCTGAATTTCCGTGCAACTTCCTCTTGTTCTTCTCTAGCTTTCTGTTTAGCCTTGACAGGATTTCTCCTTCTCTGAGCTCTTCCATGCCCTCGCCGGCTTAGACCTCCATGTCCTCCTCCCCGAGGAAATCCTTGCTCCCCCCGCTGGTTTAAGTGCACGTCCGGCACTATCGTTGCATTCATAACATTCGGCGCGCCAGGTATGTTGTGTTCGAGCTTTTGAGTGGTGTCAATGTCATGTTGATTAGGATTTCCCACCTGTGATATAATGTTAGAGACAAACTACCCAGTGACTGATGACAACATGCCTCGACCTGGTGACTGTAACGGCATCTAAGGCCAAAACAGCAGTGACCAGTCCTCCAGGCCAAACACGGCTTTTTATGTTGCTGTGTACCATTCTCAGTGGTGTTATCTTTCGATGATGGGGTTGACGCCAGAGCTACCATGGTGACAGTTGTGGGTATGGTAGTCTCCAAAGCGGTGGAGTCGTGTTCTGGGTTGCTTGGCTCTGCACTGAAGGGCGACTATGAGTATTCGTGGTTTAATACCTAGATACACATCAAAAACCTACGCAGGTTGAGGGGTCGACAATGGATCTTCCAAACTTGTTGTTCGCCTTTCAGACGAAGACCGACCTTCTTGGTTGCCTGTCTGGCCACTCTTAGGTTGTCCTGTCGGACTGGGGCGAGGACGTGGCATTTCCTGTAGACAAGTCGAATAAGATGATATACTATCCTGAAATCACGGAATATACATACAGAACATTTGATGTGAGAATACCTGCATCTCTCTCCAAAAGGACAGTGGCTGCCATTTAGAAAACGATGACAAGGTTGTCTAGTTGGAGATATATGATGGGTACCAGAGGTACCTTCTGGAAGGGATTCCTCGAGCATGGGTGTTGCTGGCAAGTTGCGACAATGGCAAGGACACATTGTTCATCGATTGCCGCACCCAGTGGGCACTACTTAGAAAGGAAGAGGAATGATAAGCATTATGGCAGACATCAGGTGCTTCTTCAAATTTGCAAAAGAAAGTCGAGATTTGAACTGCCAGTAAAGTGAAATGAGTTGAACTTTGGGAAACCGTTTAACCAAAGTGAATAGATTTGTTTGAGATTTGTGTGCAAGTAGTTAGTTCAGTCACATGGGTCCAATAACAACGGAACAGCCAGATGTGACAATCAGTCGTAGTGAACGGGTCAGCCGGGGCGGCCGGTTTGATCGCTATTGTTCCGTTGGCAACGAAGCAGCCGGTTTCTGACCCTGGCAGGGTTTACGCTCCCGCGGCGGAACCACTTTTTCAACCGACGGGCTCTGACCACGTCCCGACGGGCTCTCAGCCCATTCTGATGGAACTACAAAAAAATTTAACTGGGGCCTCTCTCCCCTTACTTACATCATCTAGATCTGTAGCATAATGTATCTTAATCTTTATCTCATCCAACTCCTGCAAGATAGTCTCCATATCAACCAAAAACTGAATTTTGTCTTAACAGGGAAACACTCACCTTGTAGTTAAGAAATGAAAGCTTTTCATTTAGCTACTCACACCTTGTCTACTCATTTGTGGCTCCATTGGGGTGTCAAAGTGGAATTGATGGTTCTGTTGGGGATGTCTCCATCAGGGTGTTTGACATTGAGATTGAAGGTGCCGTGGGGGATGTCTCGTCAGGGTGCTTGTCATTGAAATTGAAAGCGCCGCGGTGGATGTCACTGTTGGGGTGTTTGACATTGAGATTGAAGGCACCGCGGGGGATGTTTCTGTCAGGGTGTTTGACATTGAAATTGAAGGTGCTGTGGGGGATGTCACTGTCGGGGTGTTTGAGGTTGAGATTGAAGGCGCTGTGGGGGATGTTTCCATCAAGGTGTTTGACATTGAAATTGAAGGTGCCGCAGGAGATGTCTCCGTTAGGGTGTTTGTCATTAAAATTGAAGGTGCCGCGGGGGATGTCTCCGTCGGGGTGTTTGTCATTAAAATTGAAGGTACCGTGGGGGATGTCTCCGTTGGGGTGTTTGTCATTAAAATTGAAGGTGCTGCGGGGGATGTCTCCGTCGGGGTGTTTGTGGTTGAGATTGAAGGTACCATGGGGGATGTCTCCGTCGGGGTGTTTGTCATTAAAATTGAAGGTGCCGCGGGGGATGTCTCCGTCGGGGTGTTTGTCATTAAAATTGAAGGTGCCGCGGGGGATGTCTCCGTCGGGGTGTTTGTCATTAAAATTGAAGGTGCCGCGGGGGATGTCACCGTCGGGGTGTTTGTCATTGAAATTGAAGGCGCCATGGAGGATGTTGCCATCAGGGTGTTTGAGGTTGAGATTGAAGGTGCCGCGGGGGATGTCTCCATCAGGGTGTTTGACATTGAAATTGAAGGTGCCGCGGGGATGTCTCTGTCGGGGTGTTTGTCATTAAAATTGAAAGCACCACGGAGGATGTCACCGTTGGGGTGTTTGAGGTTGAGATAGAAGGCACTGTCGGCAATGGCCCCATTGGGGTGTTCGACATTGAAATTGAAAACATGACCTCCATGATATGGTCATCTGCAGCATGATCTTGAATACATCAAGTTAGCAGAGCACTTTATTGACTGTGGCAGAGCATTTGATTGACACTGACAGGGAATTGAGAATTCAAAATGTTGACTCCTGTGGGGCATTTGATTGACTCCGACAGGGCATTCAAAATTCAATATGTCAGCTCTGGCAAAGCATTTATTCAAGATAGAGGAGTCAATCCACTACAGCATTTCTAAGCTGGTGCCCAGATTATCCATCCATGTGAACTGAAACATGCAATGGCTTGGAATATGTGATTTGCAGAAACAAGAAATATATTGTCAAGAAATCAACGCACAATATCAATGAAAGGTCCTGCTAGTAGCCATGACAAATCCTCATAATACAAAAGAAAGATCCACTGAATTGGAGGTCAGATAGTTGAGGTGTGCACCATTTAGTTTTTAGAAGTAGAACAACTCTGGCAGCCCGCCTTACCAAATATGGGCCAGCGGCAACCTAATATGGAAGGAGCGCATTATTCACACACCATCTGAAACTACGCACTGCGCCGCGCTCATTGGCAATGCAACGCGCCAACAAAACAAAGACATTGGGGGGATCCCAGAAAGGAATAGAATCATTTGGAATAGTTTTCTCAGTGATTGAAGAAGTTTTTGTGAACAGACCTCGGAAAGAGCTATTTGGTGCATGAATCTTTATACAAACCAGTTGCACAACATGCCATTTTGCATACATCAAGTTATATATTTTTTTCTTCCGTCAAAACTGCTTCCCCCACCTATCTGAATTGATTCTAAAGTATGTAGGCTATATTTGGGGAAAGTATGGGAGCATTTCAACAAGATTTAGATAGTGAAAGGAAATAAGAAAGAATGTGGTTTCATGTTTAGAGTCATATTTTCACCCTTTCAAGCTCCAGCTCCCCCAAACCATCAGAAAACTGCTTCGGAGCAGGGGATATATATTCTGCCATATGTTAACTATGTATAATAAAGGCTCAGATGTTGAGATTTGGTAGCAAAGTATACAGAAAAGTCAACAATATCATGTTGTGAGATATTTCACGCATTCAATCTCATTTCTCCACCATGCGCCAAAATTCTCTTCCAAAGTAAACTTGAACCTATTTTACAACAGTTATAGTATGCTGGAAAGATGTATTGAGAAGCTATAACAGTACAGCTCATTTTTTCTTCCCCACAACTCCGGTGGTGCATTTCATTGACTCCGTTGGGGCATGTAAAATTAAATATGTTGACTCCTGCAAAGCATTCAATACACTCCAATGGGGAATATAAAATTTGAATTGGGTGGGGGACAGTTGATTGACTTTCATGGGGTATTTAATTCACTCCATTGAGGCATTTAAAATTAAATATGTTAACTTCTGCAGGGCAGTTTATTCACTCCGATGGAGCATTTTATTGACCCCGTCGGCGAATTTAAAATCAAATATTTTGACCCTGCGGCGATTTAATTCACCCCGACGGAGCATTTTATTTATGCCGTCGGGGCTTTTAAAATTAAATATGTTAACTCCCACGGGGCAGTTTATTCACTCCGACGGGGCATTTTATTGACCCCGTCGGCGAATTTAAAATCAAATATTTGACCCCGCGGCGATTTAATTCACCCCGATGGAGCATTTTATTTACGCCGTCAGGGCTTTTAAAATTAAATATGTTAACTCCCGTGGGGCAGTTTATTCACTCCGACGGGGCATTTTATCGACCCCATCGGCGAATTTAAAATCAAATATTTGACCCCGCAGCGATTTAATTCACCCCGACGGAGCATTTTATTTACACCATCAGGGCTTTTAAAATTAAATATGTTAACTCCTGCAGGGCAGTTTATTCACTCCAATGGGGCATTTTATTGACCCTGCAGCCATTTAATTCACTCCAATGGGGCATTTTATGCATGCTGTCAGGGCATATAAAATTAAATATGTTCTCTCACAGGGCACTCCGACAGGGCATTTTATTCACTCTGTCATGAAATTTAGTCAAATATGTTGACCCCCGCGGCACATGTAGTTTACTCTGACAGGGTATTTTAAATCAAATATGTTGACTCCCATGGGGCATTGGGTTCACTCCTCCAGGGCATTTGAAATTGAGTATGTCAACTCTGGCAATGCATTTACAATTAAACATAATAACCCCTCAAGTCAATCAAATTCTTCATGGAGTCAAAATAGTCAAATTTAAATGCCCATGGTAGTTGACATACTCAGCTGTAAATTCTCCGCCGGAGTCAATCAAATGCCCTGCGGGAGTTGAAATAACCACCCCATTGGAGTCAATCAAATGCTTAACCAGAGTTGACATATTCAATGTCAATAGATGTCATTGATTAATATTATGGACGCAGGTAATTTACCATTAAAGCAGGTTGGGGTATATACAGCATGCTTTGCTGACCAGCAGCTGTGTGGTAGAGCAAGTAGCTTAGGGCGGAGGTTTACAATTAGCTACTACTGATAGAAGCAAACAGTACAACATCAAAGCAGGTAACAGTATTACAGTTGTTCCAGTAAAGATTGGGGAACTATTGGTGTGATGCCGACGGGACACCCAGAAGGCTGCTGTAGGTAGCTGCCGCGGCAAGAGACACTGTGCCCGCAAGCCATTTGTAGGCATCCGGCTGGTCCGTTGGTAAAGGGATGTTTTGGAAAGTCCGGCCAGGACCGGCTGGCCCGTTCAGTACGAGTCATTGTCACGTCTGGCTACTACGTTTGGTACGTGACATAGTGACTGATATATGTGGCCAATGAAGGTATTCCAACCACCCGAAGCATGCCTAGTAAATCACACTCCCTGGTATTGCCGTCCCAGACCGAGTTTTCGGTCGGAAGGGCACAACGCCTGTCTTATGAGGGACCCATACTGCGCTTGAGGTCCCTGAAGATCCAACCTCGTGGCCGATAACGGTAGATCTATATGGCTTGACTTTCCCCTTGAAGTGTGTTTCGGCCATCAGAAAAAGGGAAGCTTGTTACTCCGCAGTTTGCTCACTTCGGGTGAGGATGGGTTATGTCAATGATCACAGTCCAGGGCATTCAGTAGATACCCAATGGGACGATAGTAGTTCACATGGTCAATTGTCCAATGTACCATAGGGCTACCCCAATGGGCCCAATCGTAGTTGGCACCATTTGGGCATAGTTTGGCCCAATGTCTGTGAGACGTTAAGCTGGCATTGTTGGGGCCAAGGTAACAAAACTATGAGAAGCATAATTGGGCCCAATGAGGGATACACAAAAAGAATTGGGCCCATGATAAACTCCCAACAGCCAAGGTTGGGCCCAATATTCCAATGGTATTAATTAGGCTATACTGCATTGTTGGGCCCAATATGTAATTAGGCTATATTGCATTGTTGGGCCCAATGCTCGGCGTAACAAATGCCGAATCCGGCAGAACCATAACCCTAGCCCTGGTAATCCCTGTCTAGCCGAAATCCAGTCGGATGACATTGCCTCCAGGACAAAATGAGATACACTTTGCAAATACTGTCGGTAGCACACAGGTAGGCCATAAATCAATATTTCCATATCGGCCTAGAATCCTGTTAATCACTTGAATTCATTTCGGGTAATAGATAATAGCCGGACATGTGACAGCCACTCTGTATGCAGGGATAGCATGAGGCATGCTGTATAAAGGACACTTTCTTTGCATTTAAAGGTCAATACCTCCTGGAATATTGTGTTGCCTCCTGGAGTGCACTCAGTACATGTTAAAACAGAAGATTTCATCGGCTGGTTGTGCCGAAATCCCTCCGGAAATATTGTGTTGCCTCCCAAAAACTATGTGCACTCAATAGATATTAAAACCGAAGATTTCATCGGCTGGTAGTGCCGAAGTACCTCCGGGAATATTGTGTTGCCTCTTGGAGACTATGTGCACTCAACACATGTTAAAACCGAAGATTTCATCGGCTGGTTGAGCCGAAAGCCCTCTGGAAATATTGTGTTGCCTCCCAAAGACTATGTGCACTCAATAGATATTAAAACCGAATATTTTGTTGGCTGGTAGTGCCGAAGTACCTCTGGAAATATGGTGTTGCCTCTCAAAGAATATATGCACTCAACACGTGTTAAAACCGAAGATTTCGTCGGCTCGTAGTGCCGAAGTACCTCTGGGAATATTGTGTTGCCTCTTGGAGACTATGTGCAGTCAATAGATATTAAATCCGAAAATTTTGTCAGCTGGTAGTGCCGAAGTACCTCCAGAAATATTGTGTTGCCTCTTGGAGACTATGTGCACTCAACACATGTCAAAACCGAAGATTTCGTCGGCTGGTTGTGCCAAAATCCCTCTGGAAATATTGCTAGCATTTCATAGATTAAAACCGAAGATTTCGTCGCCTTGTATTGCCGAAGTACGTCCGGAAATATTGTGTTGCCTCCCAAAGAATATGTGCACTCAACACATGTTAAAATGGAGGATTTTGTCGGCTCGTAGTGCCGAAGTACCTCCGGAAATATTGTGTTGGCCTCTCAAAGAATATGTGCACTCAACACATGTTAAAACCGAAGATTTCGTCGGCTGGTAGTGCCGAAATCCCTCCGGAAATATTGTGTTGCCTCCCAAAAATATGTGCATTCAATAGATATTAAAACCGAAGATTTCATCGGCTGGTAGTGCCGAAATATCTCCGGAAATATTGTGTTGCCTCCCAAAGAATATGTGCACTCAACAGATGTCAAAACCGAAGATTTCGTCGGCTGGTAGTGCCGAAATACCTCTGGAAATATTGTGTTGCCTCTCAAAGACTATGTGCACTCAACAGATATTAAAACCGAAGATTTCGTCGGCTGGTAGTGCCGAAATACCTCTGGAAATATTGTGTTGCCTCTCAAAGACTATGTGCACTCAATACATG